TCAAAAGGACACAAATTAACCACTGATGCATCACAACCCTAAAAATACAGGTGCTGTCAGACTGTAGTTTTCTTGACTTCTCGAAAGAAAACCACAAAGTCCAAGCAGTTTGACTCGCCCACTTCACTACAGTATTTAATAATGGCACCAAAAATTCAAATCTATTTTTGGTTGGTGCAAATTAACTTTTTACAAATCCACAAAAAGCAACATTTGCCATGTATGTTGTTCACTAACCCCTGATTTCAATTGAGTCTTTTTGCTGAACTGCAATCACCTGAATGGGGCGTGGAAGCAAAGGAACATCTAAAACGTGCAGGTCAGTGTGCAGGTCAGTGAGGGCAAGGCTGGGGAAACGTTACTCTGAATTTATCCTCCCTTATGCAAATGTTTTAAGCTTTTCTTCACTTTAAAACCTAAAAATGCATTTAAAAAAAACAAAAAGTAGTTTCTTTTAAAATGATAAATGTCTCAAAGTTGATATTCATACAACAAGCAGGTCTGGGGAAGCATGTGGAGCAAACAAAACTGGTCCAAAACTCTTTGGAACGCAAGAACTGCACTGATATTTCCACAAAAGATGTTGTACACATGAAGAAACTGGAATCTATCAGATAAATAATCATTTTTAAAAAGCCTTTATTCCTAATAATATGCTCAAGGGGTGGGACACTCAATCAAGTCGATTTTTGAAAATGCATTTGTGGATAAATATTGCACTTAAAGCAGCACTATTTAAATGTCCATATTGGGAAAGGACAACTTAAGAAAAGAATAAACGAAAGTCGTTGGGCCGCCCTGATGAGACGTGCCCAGACCTCCTGGCTGTGCTCAAACATTTCTGACGAGGTCACCATTACTCCTTTACCCTCTGACCTTTCAGTCAATGGGATGGAGAGCCAAAAGGTACCACTGGTTACAAATCCTAAAAACGTTTCAGTTTTTGAGGACTTTTAAAGCTTAAGGGTGCACAGAAGAGCAATGCCAATTTAAGTATTTTACTTTTTAAAATTGAAACGTTGATGGTTTCAGTGTGAGAAATTAAGTGGTCATTCATGGAGTAAAAATAGGTCATTAGGAAATACAGGAAGCAGTTCTGATTTTCTTTTTTCTATGCTTGGTCAATATTTATAGGATTGTTGCAGTTTTGCATAATATTTCTGATCAATGACTTGCTTAATCAGATCATTTCAAAAGGACACAAATTAACCACTGATGCATCACAACCCTAAAAATACAGGTGTTGTCAGACTGTAGTTTTCTTGACTTCTCGAAAGAAAACCACAAAGTTCAAGCAGTTTGACTCGCCCACTTCACTACAGTATTTAATAATGGCACCAAAATTATTCAAATCTATTTTTGGTTGGTGCAAATTAACTTTTTAGAAATCCACAAAAAGCAACATTTGCCATGTATGTTGTTCACTAACCCTGATTTCAATTGAGTCTTTTTGCTGAACTGCAATCACCTGAATGGGGCGTGTTGAAGCAAAGGAACATCTAAAACGTGCAGGTCAGTGTGCAGGTCAGTGAGGGGCAAGGCTGGGGAAACGTTACTCTGAATTTATCCTCCCTTATGCAAATGTTTTAAGCTTTTCTTCACTTTAAAACCTAAAAATGCATTTAAAAAAAACAAAAAAGTAGTTTCTTTTAAAAATGATAAATGTCTCAAAGTTGATATTCATACAACAAGCAGGTCTGGGGAAGCATGTGGAGCAAACAAAACTGGTCCAAAACTCTTTGGAACGCAAGAACTGCACTGATATTTCCACAAAAGATGTTGTACACATGAAGAAACTGGAATCTATCAGATAAATAATCATTTTTAAAAAGCCTTTATTCCTAATAATATGCTCAAGGGTGGGACACTCAATCAAGTCGATTTTTGAAAATGCATTTGTGGATAAATATTGCACTTAAAGCAGCACTATTTAAATGTCCATATTGGGAAAGGACAACTTAAGAAAAAAATAAACGAAAGTCGTTGGGCGCCCTGATGAGACGTGCTCCCAGACCTCCTGGCTGTGCTCAAACATTTCTGACGAGGTCACCATTACTCCTTTACCCTCTGACCTTTCAGTCAATGGGATGGAGCGCCAAAACGTACCACTGGTTACAAATCCTAAAAACGTTTCAGTTTTTGAGGACTTTTAAAGCTTAAGGGTGCACAGAAGAGCAATGCCAATTTAAGTATTTTACTTTTTAAAATTGAAACGTTGATGGTTTCAGTGTGAGAAATGAAGTGTCATTCATGGAGTAAAAATAGGTCATTAGGAAATACAGGAAGCAGTTCTGATTTTCTTTTTTCTATGCTTGGTCAATATTTATAGGATTGTTGCAGTTTTGCATAATATTCTGATCAATGACTTGCTTAATCAGATCATTTCAAAAGGACACAAATTAACCACTGATGCATCACAACCCTAAAAATACAGGTGCTGTCAGACTGTAGTTTTCTTGACTTCTCGAAAGAAAACCACAAAGTTCAAGCAGTTTGACTCGCCCACTTCACTACAGTATTTAATAATGGCACCAAAATTATTCAAATATATTTTTGGTTGGTGCAAATTAACTTTTTAGAAATCCACAAAAAGCAACATTTGCCATGTATGTTGTTCACTAACCCCTGATTTCAATTGAGTCTTTTTGCTGAACTGCAATCACCTGAATGGGGCGTGTTGAAGCAAAGGAACATCTAAAACGTGCAAGTCAGTGAGGGGCAAGGCTGGGGAAACGTTACTCTGAATTTATCCTCCCTTATGCAAATGTTTTAAGCTTTTCTTCACTTTAAAACCTAAAAATGCATTTAAAAAAAACAAAAAAGTAGTTTCTTTTAAAATGATAAATGTCTCAAAGTTGATATTCATACAACAAGAAGGTCTGGGGAAGCATGTGGAGCAAACAAAACTGGTCCAAAACTCTTTGGAACGCAAGAACTGCACTGATATTTCCACAAAAGATGTTGTACACATGAAGAAACTGGAATCTATCAGATAAATAATCATTTTTAAAAAGCCTTTATTCCTAATAATATGCTCAAGGGTGGGACACTCAATCAAGTCGATTTTTGAAAATGCATTTGTGGATAAATATTGCACTTAAAGCAGCACTATTTAAATGTCCATATTGGGAAAGGACAACTTAAGAAAAGAATAAACGAAAGTCGTTGGGCCGCCCTGATGAGACGTGCTCCCAGACCTCCTGGCTGTGCTCAAACATTTCTGACGAGGTCACCATTACTCCTTTACCCTCTGACCTTTCAGTCAATGGGATGGAGCGCCAAAAGGTACCACTGGTTACAAATCCTAAAAACGTTTCAGTTTTTGAGGACTTTTAAAGCTTAAGGGTGCACAGAAGAGCAATGCCAATTTAAGTATTTTACTTTTTAAAATTGAAACGTTGATGGTTTCAGTGTGAGAAATGAAGTGGTCATTCATGGAGTAAAAATAGGTCATTAGGAAATACAGGAAGCAGTTCTGATTTTCTTTTTTCTATGCTTGGTCAATATTTATAGGATTGTTGCAGTTTTGCATAATATTCTGATCAATGACTTGCTTAATCAGATCATTTCAAAAGGACACAAATTAACCACTGATGCATCACAACCCTAAAAATACAGGTGTTGTCAGACTGTAGTTTTCTTGACTTCTCGAAAGAAAACCACAAAGTTCAAGCAGTTTGACTCGCCCACTTCACTACAGTATTTAATAATGGCACCAAAATTATTCAAATATATTTTTGGTTGGTGCAAATTAACTTTTTAGAAATCCACAAAAAGCAACATTTGCCATGTATGTTGTTCACTAACCCCTGATTTCAATTGAGTCTTTTTGCTGAACTGCAATCACCTGAATGGGGCGTGTTGAAGCAAAGGAACATCTAAAACGTGCAGGTCAGTGTGCAGGTCAGTGAGGGGCAAGGCTGGGGAAACGTTACTCTGAATTTATCCTCCCTTATGCAAATGTTTTAAGCTTTTCTTCACTTTAAAACCTAAAAATGCATTTAAAAAAAACAAAAAAGTAGTTTCTTTTAAAAATGATAAATGTCTCAAAGTTGATATTCATACAACAAGCAGGTCTGGGGAAGCATGTGGAGCAAACAAAACTGGTCCAAAACTCTTTGGAACGCAAGAACTGCACTGATATTTCCACAAAAGATGTTGTACACATGAAGAAACTGGAATCTATCAGATAAATAATCATTTTTAAAAAGCCTTTATTCCTAATAATATGCTCAAGGGTGGGACACTCAATCAAGTCGATTTTTGAAAATGCATTTGTGGATAAATATTGCACTTAAAGCAGCACTATTTAAATGTCCATATTGGGAAAGGACAACTTAAGAAAAGAATAAACGAAAGTCGTTGGGCCGCCCTGATGAGACGTGCTCCCAGACCTCCTGGCTGTGCTCAAACATTTCTGACGAGGTCACCATTACTCCTTTACCCTCTGACCTTTCAGTCAATGGGATGGAGAGCCAAAAGGTACCACTGGTTACAAATCCTAAAAACGTTTCAGTTTTTGAGGACTTTTAAAGCTTAAGGGTGCACAGAAGAGCAATGCCAATTTAAGTATTTTACTTTTTAAAATTGAAACGTTGATGGTTTCAGTGTGAGAAATGAAGTGGTCATTCATGGAGTAAAAATAGGTCATTAGGAAATACAGGAAGCAGTTCTGATTTTCTTTTTCTATGCTTGGTCAATATTTATAGGATTGTTGCAGTTTTGCATAATATTCTGATCAATGACTTGCTTAATCAGATCATTTCAAAAGGACACAAATTAACCACTGATGCATCACAACCCTAAAAATACAGGTGCTGTCAGACTGTAGTTTTCTTGACTTCTCGAAAGAAAACCACAAAGTCCAAGCAGTTTGACTCGCCCACTTCACTACAGTATTTAATAATGGCACCAAAATTATTCAAATATATTTTTGGTTGGTGCAAATTAACTTTTTAGAAATCCACAAAAAGCAACATTTGCCATGTATGTTGTTCCAGACCGGCCCTGTGATCGACATGCCGGTTCCTGCCAGCTACAATGACATCACTCAAGACCCCACACTGAGAGATTTCATTGGCTGGGTGTGGTATGAGCGCGAGGTGACGGTGCCCACCCGCTGGATCGCCGATGACGGCCTGCGAGTGGTGCTCCGAGTGGGGAGCGCTCACTATTACTCCGTAGTGGTGAGTCTTCCTCAGCAACACAAGAAAAACTTCCAATTTGTATTGGAAGTTTTTAGATTAAACAGCTTCTTTATTTCCACCAGTGGGTGAATGGTGTGAAGGTGACTGAACACGAAGGCGGCCATCTGCCGTTTGAGGCAGAAATAGGCACCTTACTCCGTAAAGACCCAACCATGCCCTGCAGGATCACCATCGCTGTGAACAACACTCTGAATCTGCACACACTCCCTCCAGGCACCATCCAGTACATGACTGACCGTACCAGGTGAATTCCTCCGCCTCTCATCTCTGCAGTGACCTTTCACATTCAAACCCTTGCTTGACGCCAAACTTCGGCTTCTTTTATGAATCAACTTGAATAGTTTTGCTAATAAGACTCTTTGATCCACAGGTATCCTGCTGGGTTCTTTGTCCAGAACATCAATTTTGATTTCTTCAACTATGCCGGGATACACCGTCCTGTTCTGTTGTACACCACTCCTAAAGCCTACGTGGATGACATCACCGTTGTTACAGATTTCTTGGACAACACAGGTAAGCCGCGGGTCAAGAGTCTTGGGATTCGCTCACACCAATCTTTTTTCATTATTTTTTCATAATGTTATTTTTTTTATCAATATCAAGCAGTTAATAACTTAAAACAAGCTCCTGTATCTCGGTAAACACGTTTAAGCTGGTTTTGTCTTGAAGTTCAAGATATTTGCATTAGAAACTGTAACAAAAATTCTTGGTAAGATTTTGTTTTTGCAGTGTGCAACCACTAAAATCTTGCTACTTCATTTGTTTAACATTTTCTAAAGAAGGAAGTTGCGCTCAGTGTCATTTTCAGAGATTTTCATGTGGTTTCCTTGGTGGTTCTTGGTGCAGCGCCGCCTCAGGTGAGGGCGAGGTGGAGCTGGTTCTTCACAGTCGAGGTTCTTTTGATCCAGTGCAGTGTGAAAACAAACTGCATCAGCTGAAAATGTAACAAATATTGCAATTTCGGTCCCCAATTGAACTGAGTCTACTTCACATGCGATGCTGTGGATATTATAAACGTCAAATGACAGAGAGCTGTCATAAAAGCAACAAGCTCATGATGTTATCTTTGTGGTGTTTCCAGGGTTGGTCAGATATGATGTGTCAGTCAAAGGAACAACCTCCGCTGCTTTGAAGGTGACTTTAATGGACAAAGGAGGCCACTGCGTTGTTTCCTCCAATGAGGCTTCTGGAGTGCTCAAAGTGCCAAATGTCAACCTGTGGTGGCCGTTCTTGATGCACGAGAACCCGGGTTATCTTTACTCGTTGGAGGTGAGTCATGCTTTGATCTAAATGATTTACTTTCTGATGTGGATCACATGAGGGGTGCCGCCAGGGAAGTGAAACTTGGAAAGTAAGCAGATTAGTAAAGCATCCCTTTTTTAAAAACCAGTGATTGCTGTGAAGGGCATCTGAGTTGATGCGTTTTCCAGCGTTTACTTCTCAAATGATTGAGACCATGTTTTGGTCCACATGTATAGAATAAGGTCAAAATGTAAGTCAAGGAAGTGCTGTGGAGCACTCTGCTCCTTTTTTAGGAATTAAAATGAAAGATTTAAAAAAAATAAAATCTACAGATTTAACATTTCTTTGTAAAATGACGGCAACCATCTCTGGATCACTTTCCCGTCCAGGTTCGCCTGAAGGCTACTGATGAGAGCTCAACATATGAGGACGTTTATACTCTACCGGTTGGCATCCGCACAGTGAACGTCAGCAGCACCCAATTCTTCATCAACAACAAGCCGTTCTATTTCCATGGAGTCAATAAGCATGAAGATGCTGATGTAAGTACCAGAGAGAAGCTAAGAACTGACTGAAAACTTCAATGCATTGCCTTGAAGTTTCATGTTTGGTAGAAGAACTCATTTTGTATGCGGCCAACAGAATAAGGCTCATAACTTTATTTTAGAAGGCAAACGACAATTTCAAATTCAAGGGCCAAATTGTGGCCCACCATAGCCATTTCTTGGTGGGCCTTACGGGAGCTTCAAGGAAACATCTGGGCTTGAATATTGATCAGTCAAATCAGTTTATTTTTTATCGGGTCAAATTATTTTGATCTCGGCCAAGATTTTATATCTGCATCAATCTTATAAAGTACAAATCAAATTCTGAGAGAACAATGAGGCCTTTGGAGAACATTAATGATCTTGATGAGCCCAAATTAAAAATGACACCCTTGTCCAAACTCCAAACATCTCATAGACCCAAAGTAGTCGACCTATTTCCTGTGCGGTCACTGTCTCATGTTGTAGCTGTTTCTCTGCTGCGGCACATCTGACTTTAATGATTGCGTTATCTCCTGAGCATGGCGTCAGGTTCTATAGATCTGCTTATTGAACTGGGTGAGGACTGAGGACCGGAGTTGAGAACCGTAGTCTTAGAGCTCTGTTCAGAAAGTTGTGGTTGTAGCATTACAGAACATCAAACCATCAAACATCAAAACATCAACCTTGCTACATTTTCATGGACTGGGAATGTCAGATCAAATCATTTTGAGCCTGTTCTGCCTCGTGTTGCAGATCCGAGGGAAAGGTTTGGACTGGCCCCTAATCGTCAAGGACTTTAACCTGATGAAGTGGTTGGGGGCCAACTCGTTCCGCACCAGCCACTACCCCTACGCCGAGGAGATTCTGCAGATGTGTGACCGCCACGGCATCGTGGTGATCGATGAGAGCCCAGGGGTCGGCATTAAAGACATGTAAGACGTGGCAGGATGTTGTTTCAGCTAATCAAAAGCCAGCTAGTTAGTTTTTAGTTGCTTGTTCAATGTGTGGGACTTGTCTTTAAATATAAGGGTTCACCTTTCTAATGAAGTGTAACAATGGTATTACCTAAGGTATTTATATTGGGTTTAAAGTAGGACTTGGCAATAAATCAATAATGATATATAGACATGTGATCAATATGCTTAGATGTCCGATAGAATTTTCAATAATTTCACCACACGGGATTCTGGGTTATGTAGGCAGAGGAAAGGCTTTGGGCGCTCAACCTTTCATGGCTAGCTAAGCTAGGACAATGGCATCAACCAGCTCACTCACTTTTTGGTTGCTTAAAAAGCAAAAAAACTGTGGAAAAGACGAAAGGTTTCCCCACCAGTTTGGCAGCATTTCAGATTTTTGAAACAAAAAAACGGATCAATTATTGATATTGACTGGTATGAAACGGTTTTATCGTCATGTTTTTCTGCCGTCCAGCCCTTTCTAAAAGTCACATTTCACCCTGTTGACGTGAAAGATGTGGCCCAGGCAAATGAGGTTCTAGTGTTTCGGGGTTTTTTGTTTGTTTGTTTTTCAAACAAAAATGGTTGCGTTTACATTTTACGAAGGCTGTACAGTAGCAGGAAGTGCAGCTAGTATTAAAATTACAATCTGTCGCCTCCACTGTATTTTGTTAGGTAGAAGCCCAAATGTTTTCTACAGAAAATACATTTTATGGTTCACAGATTTTGTGCTGCTTCTGATTTTAATTTTAACTCCCTCAGCTCGCTAAAATGGCAAACTTTTGATGTCACCACTGGTCTAGATGGTAAAAATTATTATGTTTGATTTCTTCCATTGTGAGTATATCAACCAGAACTCTGTCATGTTCTTTTAATTATTACAAAATGTGTTTAATCTGACATCCAGGGTTTTTATTTTTATTTTTTGCATATACTTTTTAAAATATTTTTTTCCCCCTGACCTTATTGGACTTTTGATAGTTTTATGCACAGCCACTGTGATCCCGCAAATGTTGCTCCTATGCTTTTTCCACCACAGTCGCAGTTTTGACAACGTCTCCCTGACCCACCACCTCACTGTTATGGACGAGCTCGTACGGCGGGACAAGAACCATCCCTCCGTGGTCATGTGGTCTGTAGCCAATGAGCCCGCTGCAGAGATGCCCCCTGCTGAGAACTACTTCAAGTAAGTTATTGTGGCGTTATGGGTTTGTTTTACGCTAAACTTCACTTTATTCACGTGATTTTTACAAGTTGCAAGTTAAGTCAGAAATTAATTTATTCTCTTAACACTTACTCTACACAAGTGAAAATGAAGCAGGAAGAAGAAACAAATCTTGTATGAACTTGCCCCTTTGACAATAACTACAAAATACATGTTCATGGCCAAATGCATTCAATTAACTGAGTTGCAAATACACCATTAAAAATGCACTGAAAGAGGGCAAAATGTATTCCAAAGGGCAGATGAGGAAGAGAGGGCAACAGTGGGTCTTTGGTTTGTGTAGAATATTTACTGCTACTCTAAATAAAAATGTAAATTTTGCTTCATCTGTATATATTATTTTTAATATGAGAGTTGTTTGAATTTTGTCTAAACAGATTTTCGTTAGGCACACCAACTATGAAGTAGTTGGTTGCACTACCTCATAGCTCCTTGTGGAGGCGCTAAGTGGGTCAGTTAAAGAAACTTTACTGGAAGGCGTAAATTAGAGAAGGAGTTAATGGGCAAAATTGATTGAAACATTTACCAATGCCACATTTTTCGAACACTGTGGTTTATTAACTTCTTGATGGACATAGAGAGTCTCTGGGTTTGTCAAGAAGGATGAAGCACATGAAAAACGAAGCAGACTTTGGAATGCATTAGTTTAGCCTCGGCTAGTGGAGAACTGTCGGTTTGCCCTTGAGCTGCAATGTAGGGAATCCTGTCAGGCTGGTTATGAAGCAAACAGCTGGAGCTCAGGGTTCGCCTGAGTCCGCAGAGACCCACCAAACCAACCACCGCACCCATGATGTGATGTAGGATGAACAAAATAGTCTCGCGCTTCTACTTGCACAGGCTTGCATGATTTCTATAAAGTTTAAAGCTGACTTTAGCAGATTTATTTCCCTCAGTGTGATGATGAAATCATCCTTCTGCGATGTCGATCAATCAGAGACTCTCTTGCAAAACGGCTCACTGCAGTTTTTTTTTTTTTTTTCCCCTGCAGGACACTGATAATGCACACCAAAGCTCTGGACCCTACCCGACCCGTCACCTACATCACAGACAGTAACTTCGCACGGGACAAAGGAGTGAGTCCCTCTTCATCTCACTGCTGGCAGTATAAATAAGTTTTAAAAAAAGTTAATACCCTCCGTTTATGTGAAGTCTGGGAACTTTCAATGCAAAGAATCTTACCAAGTATTTTTGGTCTAGTTTCTTATGCAAGTATTTGAGTACACTTGAAATAAGACTAAACTAATTTAAAAGTAACTTTTCAGCAATATATAGGCGCTTGTTTTAAGTCAATAATTTGCTAAAGCTTCAGTATGTAACTCTTACAAAGTGTTTTTCCATATTTATTTAAACTGTCACAATGTCTTGACGGTGTGGTAGAGACAGAAAATCTGTGAAAAATTCAGCTCCTCCACCTTCTATCGGTGCTACTATTGCAGTCTGAAAAGTTGCACCGCTCCCGGTTTAAAACAACCAACCAGAGGCGTCGTCGCTCAACCTCCTGTACGCTGTGCAAAGTGCTAATGATGGACATTCAACTCACCGTTACAGGAAGAGGGTCTTCTGCCATAATCTGTGCATATGCTAATTAGCACTAGCATGCTCGACAGGCTTTGCTGTGATGGGCCAGCTGTAGCTTAGCTTAGCAAAGGGGTTGGGCACAAAGAGTGATTGACAGCACTAAGACCCTCCTCCTTATAAAAGTTGAACACTGCAGCTATAAGATGAATGGAAGAAGTCCTACTTCCACTGGCAGATTATTTTACTTGGCCCATTCTTAGAAATAATTTGCCAGTGGGACTAATGCTTTTCTTTTAATCAAATATTGATCAAAAAAAAAAGTTAATTACAAGTTAGTTCTGTCTTGTGTTATTAATTAAATTAGCTTCATGATCACAAAAGTCCTGGCTGGCAATTTTGCCGGTTATCCCTATATGAGCTAATTGTTTTTTAAGGGCAATTTTGTTCAGAAACTTCATAATCAATTACATTTGTAGTTTTTTTTATTTATTTTTATGTACATTTAAATGTCTTCCACCTCCTGTTCTAGGTGTTCTTTCCACAATTAAAGTTGATCTTAGAGAGGACACATTTGCATTATTATGCCATCGTCATCAGGTGAATAAGGTCTCAAGATGACGGGATTATCGTTTGTCTCAAAGATTTCTGGGACAATTTATCATCCAGCACAGTTTATAATTTTGGCATTAGATTAGTAACCCTTAGTGCTGCTATTCCAGAACAGTCGTATTCTATGCAAGCACGAAGAAAAATATAAACGTTTAATTTGAGACTCCCTATTGTGTGCGAGGTTATTTTACTAAACATTAATTTGCTCCGCCTCTAGGCTCCCTTTGTGGACGTCATCTGTGTGAACAGCTACTTCTCCTGGTACCACGACCCCGGCCACCTGGAGGTCATCCCTCTCCAGCTCAACACTCAGTTTGAGAACTGGTTCGGAAAGTACAAGAAGCCCATCATCCAGAGCGAGTATGGAGCTGATGTCGTGCCAGGGCTTCATAATGTGAGGAGCGACACCCTCAGGGCATTAATGGCATCTTTTCTCCCAAGTTTTTTTATTTTTTAAACTAATTAGATCTGATAACCAAGTGTAAGCACATAATTAAAAGCCCAACCGTATTATGCCCATTAAATATGTAACCTTTAGTAGTTTTGTTTGCGAGGTCTGCTAAGGATTTTACCTTTCTCATCACCGTAGTAACAAGCCATTTGATATTTGCGTCATGCAGTCATATTTCTGCTCAGGATCCCCCGCTGATGTTCACTGAGGAGTACCAGAAAGTGGTCCTGCAGCAGTACCACCGCGTGTTCGACCAGAAGAGGAAGAAGTACGTCATTGGCGAGCTCATCTGGAACTTCGCCGACTTCATGACGACACAAGGTGAACCAGAGCTGCTCACTTTCTCTCTCTTCACGTCCCGTTGATGAGAAAAGCCCCAGTCAGAATTATTTGAGGCCACTTTGTTTTTTTGTTTTTTTTGTAAAACTTTTACATGCCAGTACTGATTTTAATTAGAATTCAGAAAGATATAATGGCCTTCAAAACTTTTTCTCCTTGCCTGCCTGCCATGTGTGGCCGTTATTTATAATAGGAGCAAAGGGAACATTGTGCAAGAGCAGCTGCTGTAAAACCGGGTTTGTTTGTACGTCCTAGTGTATGTACTTTGGTTTAGAGTCTCCACAGGGTGCCAACATTTCTACATCCATCCTGTTCTTGGATGGATGAGTGTTGACAGTTCAGAACTTTTTTTCTCTGTCTTGCCTTCATTTTGTCCGCTTGATTGAGGTGCGGCCGCGACTCGTTGTGACAGGGACAACCGTTTCAATTTTTGGTTCTTCCTTGGATTTCACCAATACTGAAAGTAGCTAACCTGGAGTCTTCACTCAATCACATCCACACGGAAGAGCGTTACTGTTAACATTACGTGGTAGTTGGAGGGTCATCTGAAGGGTTTTGTTCAGATGAGTTCGATTTTTTTTAATTTATGTCATTTTAAAGATGAAAATTAAATTTCTTCAGGTGAGGATCTGGGCTTGTAACTTTGATGCACAGGCTATAGTTTTTATGCCTGCATGCACATGAATGCTAATATTTTTATTGACGTCTTGTCCAATATTTCTGACCTTGGTGTTTGCAGGGATCATCCGTGTGGTGGGGAACAAGAAGGGGATCTTTACTCGGCAAAGGCAACCCAAAGCTGCTGCATTCATCCTCAAGGAGAGATACTGGAGACTGGCAAATGAAACTGGCATCCTGCCCCTCTGGACCAAGTACCCCTGCCCACTGTGAGTGACCATTACAAGCATTAAGCCCCGCAGGACAACTGGAGCCGTATGGAAAATCATGTCTAATCAAGGGCTGCTTCTAATTAAACCATCCTTTTTGCGTTTTTTTTTTTTCACCAGCATCTCTGTGATTATATAAACTGTTTTATTTCTAAATGTCTGCATTGAGTTTTCTTTAAAGAAAACAAAACGAGAACAGAAACAAAGAAATGCCAGATACAACTACAAGACTCAGTTTTCAGTTCCCCTTATTTGCTGGAATCTCCCAGTGGACCGACTTGCAGGCAGGAATTGCGAGGGAGAAAAATAAACAGCGAAAACGAACGAAAGCCTTAAAATGTGCTTTAAATAAGGTTCCTAGATTTGATTAGAACAGGCAAAGCTGCTGACAATGGACAGATCCTCCAACATGCTCAGCCAGTAACGCTGTTTTCACATCCATCCAAGAAAAATGAATGTCTGTGACTTGATGCAATATTTTATTCCATTGAGTGGCACGGATGTAACTGACTTTGAATCTGAGTGATTTGACTGAATAAAGTGCCTGGTGGTTATATTTGCTGTGATTTGGTGCCGTATTAAAAATCGTAATTGACAGCTTCGCGCTTGCAGTCACGGCTTGGGTTTTGTAATGTGCAAGCAACGCAGGATTTTCATATAGAACAGAGTTGGCTCAGTTGCAGACGGAAGCAGTCATGGCGTTGGTCCAGATTTACCCCCAGTCTGAGTCATCAGTGCTGACATCACAAGATTTCTCTCAAATTTCAGTGCTTTGTACATTATTGGGTAAAAGGTGAGACTTTGTATGAAGCAGAAATAAAGCATTTTCTGTATGTTTTTGGGGCTGCACAATGAATTTGTTTTCTCTAGGTGGGGCGTGATTTCTGTTGGAATGTGCCAGCCTGACTTTATACAACCAATGTCATGTTACTATGTAAGGGAAAATCTGAATGTGATGTTTTTTCAACAAATTGAGAGGAAAGAAGTCATTTTATATCTGAATCACTGCAATAAAGATGATATAATGACACTACCTCAGGTTCTGCACCTTCGTTTTTTTTCTACAGCTAAAATGCTGAAGTCTGGCTAAATGTTAGCATGATGCTTAAAGGGTTAACGAGTGACATGACTGTTGTTGATAGTGGCGTGATCGCGGATATTGTCAGTTTACCTACCCTCATCTGATCTCTGACCTTTGTGTTAAAACTTTCACCATTGCAGGGCAAATATTATTCCTTTCTAACTTTAACAGCAGCCGTTTAAACTCGCATGTTTTGCTTATGAAGCTATCATCTATAATGTTTCACACAGCTGACGTTTTGTTACGTTGCGTCAAATGACAAGGGAAACATTTGTTTCTTTCACAAGCTCAAGTGAAACGAATGTTAAATGTTTCCAAAGTTGAATTAAAAATGGAAGAAATGAACAAAATCTCAAGTTAGAAGACAGTCATGTCAACAAGTAGCAGGTTTTTCTCCCAAGTTTTATTTATTTTTTTTTTTGTGGTGAAAGATGGACATGCATGTTAGAGTTGACTGTAACATTTCTAAATAAGTGAATAAAAATTAAGGTAGAATAATGCTGATCAACCAGCCGCATGGTAAAAGTTTCAAAACAGTTGAAATTTTCCATATGTTCCTCCTTTACCAAGTTTTATTTTGTTGTTTTTATTCTCGCTTCTGGAGTACAATAACTCAGTGCGACACCTTTTTATACCTTTTTACTACAAACTGTTGGTCAGATGGCTGAAATGTGATGTGGATACAACACATTCACTCACATGACAGTGGTGTCCTCAAGGAGTGGAACGGTGGGGGTCAAGGCCCATTGTTGGAAAATCTTTCCCACAGCATAGATGTACAAATCAAACTGATGTGTAAAATAAAACGTAAAGTTAAAAATGTATTTCCTGGGGTGCGTCACTGACACAGGAATTAGAAGTTTAGAGTTGTTTGAAAGTTTGTGGATTTGAAATGTCTCTTCAAAAAGTAAAAAATATTTTCAAATGATCATGGTCAGGGAATTGGGCAGGGGTTGCCCCCCACACCTTTTTCGAAGATGCTTCTAAAGCTACCTTTGTGGCTTTATTAACAGCATATTTGGTAACCAGCTGACTGTAGGTTGGGTTTCACAGCAGGTAGCCTGACTAGGAAGGCAGCTAGTATTCTGCGTAAGAGGTATGTTTATTTAAAGCGTGACATCATTCTGCATCAAGTCTATTATTAAATGTTATAGAATTACAGAAGTATAAAACCAATGTTTCCAATTTTAGGAATAATTGTTGCTTTCTCTGTTTTTAAATAAACATTGAAGGTTTTTGTTTGGTACTGCGAATCTGTTTAGTGTGGACCGATATACTGATAAATTATGTTGCCAATACTGCTGTTTGTTTAAATGACTAAAAACAACACTTTCAGGGGGAATGTTTTAAGGGTAGATCATTTCAACATATGTTCTTAATGTTTTAGAAAATATTAGATTTTTTTTTTCCGTCGCACTTTTAAGCCATTAGTGTAAGTAACACTTGTCCGTGTAAGAAAATAAAACATTTTAAAACACGTCGCAATACAGAAGCAAACCCAGTAAGTTTTCCTCCACAAAGAATTTTAATAAACAATTTTTACTGACATTAATTCCAAACCCTCCAGCCCCTCAACTTTAGTTTTTTTTTTTTTTTTTTTTTTTTTTTTTATACTAAAATAACTCGATGTTAACAGTCTATACAGCTATAGGGCAAAATTAATCAAAGAAAATTACAATCTCATTTGAACAGTGTACTGTTTGGAAACGAACAATTCTTATCTAGACAAAAAGAGGAGAGTTACATGGTGGGGTTTGGGAACAATAAAACAATGAACGACAGCGGTGTGACATTGTCTTGTGTCTGGCAACCGGGGAACACATTTCTGCACTGTAACGTTTACTGGATGTTAAATCTTTGGGGAGTTTCCAATTTCTGTGGTTCCATCCTTAGGAAGGCAAGCAAGAAGTGCCTGGTGCATTTCTTCTTCTTCTTACAAGGCCTGTTACTGTCGCTCGTCTTTGGCTCGAGGCCGGGTGATCAAACAGAAGGCACTTTTGTTGGCATTAGTGACGCAACGAACATGGCAGTTTATACCTATAGGCCTAAATAATATTAAGAATGGAAAACTGATCGCCCTCACATCAAATAATCCAACAACAAAGTGACAGTGTTTACTCCCCTTAGTTTTCCTCCGAGTCGCTTTTTGAGAATTAGTGCAAGTAGGCTTGCGTTGCAGGGGCTACACACTTAGCAGAGCCTGGTCTACGTAAACACGACCAGACCTTTATTCCGTTACAGGACGAGCCTTGCAGCTTAATGTCAGTTTGTTTTGCGTTAAGAAAAATTTTAAAAAAGCCACACTCTTATCAGTTCATTCCTTATGATGATGGAAATTGGTTTCACGTGCAATGTTCCCAAAACGGGCAACGAACACCAAAAGGATGTCGACTTAGAATCTTGTCCGAGCAGCTACTGGTTCCCATTCTTTACCACACGACATAAAAAAAGCTATATATAAACCATAAGAAGCCCCACCCAAACTGGTACAATGAAAAATAAAACACTCAGAAACTGACATGGGCTGGTTGTCATCGTACTGAAGAAAGCATAATTCCGTTATGTTAAAATTCTTACGCCATTCCTACGCTTTAAATCCCGTTTGTGACGCCACAGAATGTGCCAGATTGAATGTTTCTCCCCCCTCCTGCACCGCTAGTTAGCTTAACCAGCTGTGCTGTATAAGAACGAAAGAAGAAGATGAAAGATAAATTTGTTAGTTTGAAACAGTTTCCAGTTGCAAAATAACACAAGCACCCTTGTAGAAACTAACGACTCTTTTTAAAGACTTTAAAACAGCTGGCGTGGTATGTCTGTTCAGCGGCTAACGTCAGGCTAGCTGGCAGAGCGGCTAACGTCAGGCTAGCTGGCAGAGCGGCTAACGTCAGGCTAGCTGGCAGAGCGGCTAACGTCAGGCTAGCTGGCAGAGCGGCTAACGTCAGGCTAGCTGGCAGAGCGGCTAACGTCAGGCTAGCTGGCAGAGCGGCTAACGTCAGGCTAGCTGGCAGAGCGGCTAACGTCAGGCTAGCTGGCAGAGCGGCTAACGTCAGGCTAGCTGGCAGAGCGGCTAACGTCAGGCTAGCTGGCAGAGCGGCTAGCCTAAATAGAAAACCAGCTAATAACTTCTTTTACTTCCAATGTATATATTTACGTATTTTTACTTGAGTTTGTATCGAAATAATTACTCAGAGTTCCCATGACATTGACATTTTTAGATTTTTCATATCGTCGTTCAGTTATATGCTCCGTTTTTAACCCCTCATCGATCCTAAAACACGATGAGTTGGCAGTGTGGTAAAGGGCCGTTTCACTATTTTTATGGCTTCTAGACACTTTAAAATGCACAACATTGAAAAGTATGGACTGAAGGATCCTGAATTTAAAATATTTTAAAATCAGTTTGTGAATAGCAATACCGTAGTTTCAGAAACATCTTGGGGAAAAATGAAGCATTTTCATTTGTAAGATTAGCTTAAATCACAAATGTTGGTCTAGTTAAAAAAAGTTGGCAGAGGCCAAAAAAAAAAAAATATGGTGAAATTGCTCCTTATATTTGAATGAGTTTCATCTGGCAATAAGAAAAAGAAAAAAAAACCTCAAATTGTCACAAACCTGATGTCGTATAAAAGTAAAATTTCTAGTAACTTTAAAAATTTCTAGTAACTTTAAAAATGGAATAAGCAATGAAATCCAGAAATTCTCAACATTAAATACTTAAATATCCATTCTTACTTGGAGAAAGAATGAAAATCCTTCCATACTTGTCAAAATGGCACAAGACAACTGATTAAATTATGTTAAAACTAATAATAACCGTTGTTTTTCTGTTTAAAATTCTCATCTATTGTTTGTGGAAAATCTTGGTATTAGTACTGATATTGTGGCCCTTTTACATCAGCTTGCACCATGAGAAATCCAGAGCAACCCATGCCTTTCTCAAAAGTAAGTACAGGATTATGGTCTGCAGAGAAAACAATGTGTGCCTGGAATGTAAAGGGGGAAATAAATCGGGCTAAAACACGCCGTTTGCCTCGGAAAATGGTCAACAGTAAACTGAAACAAGCAGAGGCACAGGTCACAATATGCCTGGATAGATTCATTACTTCCAATGGTTTCACAATTCGTCTCTAGAAGCACGTCACTGTAAGCACAGCAAGACATTAATCGGCACCTCAACACTCCCTTCATTTACAAAAGGAAGGATGCAAATTGTACTAAGGGAACCGTAGGCGAGATGGTTTATTACCACAGATGAATCACACCATTACATTTATTACAGTGACTGTTACAGATCTTTGAAAGTGTAAGACTGTGTTATGGCCATGTGGAGAAAAAGAAAAGAAAGAAGGATGACCCTTGGATGGAAGGAAAATGAATCTAGAAGCTACATCTGCTTTCTCCGTAGAGCAGTCTAGTTCTGCTTTCACTCGACTGTGTTAGATCTAAAACTTGGTGCAATTCAAAAATAACAGTGAGGGACTTGGTTGTCTTATCAGAACAGTAACAACAAAAACAAAAAAAACACAAAATCCACATATGGCTTAAACGCAACATTTAGTTCTTTAGTAAATCTAACTCCTTGGTTCACATGTGCAGTTCACATCGACAGTGCACTAAGTTTTTGTTTTTCCTGGGACCGTTCCACCAACACCCCACCAACCGTGTGCGAACGCCAGGCGATTTTTAGTGTAACCGCGAGGCTAAAGTGGGCCACTTCGCCCCATGCGCAGACAGTCACAGTGTAGCAGCCTATTGCTACCTCGTGAGACGACGAGAAGGACAAATACTTCAGCGACATCTTCCAGGCATGGACCGGTTACCGGGATCAAGGTATATCAGGGTTTAAAAAAAAAAAAAAAAAAATTAATTTCTTGTTATGGTTTTTCTCATTTGGATCTTTTTAATGAGATGGCAAAGAAAGAAAGTCAAAGATAAAGCTTTTTTTTCTCCATGGAGCGTAGGAAAAAAAAAAGGCAACGCAGTCAGCTACCTTAACCCTAACACAGTCTTAAGAGACGGGGTCCAATTATTTTTGATCCTGTTGGTTTTTACCAGTTTTGCGTGCGTGTAGTTTCGGGAACTGACCGTCTGACGTCTCACCATAACATCTGGCACACTCCTCTTGAGTGTTGCATTGAGGGTCCCCTGTGGCGATAAAATGACAAAATGGGTTGTGTGGAACTTTTTCCAAAGGAGAAATTGGTGAGCTACCTGAGCAGGTAGCCCAACTAACCAGCCAATGCTCGCCTACCTCAACTCAAACCAAAGAAAGTGTTTAGTTGACCAGTTTTCCTTGGCTGTCCGTAACTGCTGCTACACACCGCCAGCCAGCAGGCTGAAAGAAGGGAACTAAAGTATCTCTGCTCATAAACTACTGCTTAACACTGCTTATTCCTTACAAGTTGGCAAACTACAAGTGGCATTTCTGTTTGAAAGCCAACGGCAGGTACACTGACTCCCCAGCTAGCACCACCTTGCTTAGTAGCATTGTTACTCTATATTAAAAAAAAAAAATGCAAAAAAAGGGATCATATTCTGCTTCATAAACACTGAAATTTGCGATACTGTAGTTGTTTTACCGAGAGAATCCCACACCGGCCCATGCCAATGCTCTTCATTTGCTAGAACAAAATGTCCCCTGTGGCGATAAAATGAGAAAAAAAAATTGGTGTTGACATCAACTCCCTCCCAAGTTCCCCCCCAAACTAAAGTGTTTATCAAAAACAAAAACAAAAAAGGTAATTCACATTAACACTCCTTTAGGCACATAAGTCTCAAAGAATCCCACTTGTGTGGTGGTCAGGAATGCTTTTCACACGACAAAAATGAGAGTGAGGGTGCTTTCGAGCAAACGGCAAAAAGAAACCTGCAGATCTGTTTCTGATGCAATTACTTCCACTTCTGAAACAAAGACAGCCTTCTGAACTGCGAGCCCGACCAGGCTGTTACGGAGCAGGAAGACGTCCCGAGCGCATCCTCAGACTCGGCCACCCGGACGCGACCTCACGGCCCTCCTGTCGTCTCCTCACCGTTTAAACTTTGTCGGTTGGGGTTTTGTGTCATTTATGCCCGGTGTATTGCTCAGCAGCTATTTACAGAATTGCAAATAAAAAAAAATAAAAATAAAAACATCTGACTGATCTACACACAGTATCTCACATTGTCCCATGTTTTATTTTAGTGGTCCTCATCAAAACAAAAAAAAAAGAAATGTACTACAAAGTGTAAACATGGAAGAAAAAAACAACAAAAAAACAAATCATCCTTTATAAATGGTAATTGTTGCATCGTCCTCTTCTCAGCCTGCTGTAAGAACCTTATCTGCAGACAGGTAACCAAATGGCCGTTTTGTTTTGACTTTGGGACTTTTGCTCAGCTCTGAGTACAGATGATCGCTGTCAATTTCACCGTTTAATGTCCCATCTCTTCTTCTTCCAGTCTGTAATCCGTTTATTTTTTTCTTTGTTGTTGTTCAGACCAGAGCTGTCCTCCATCAGTGCGTCTTGTGTGGGTACTTCCACCTCAGCAGCGTCGTGTTTTCCGCCCGCCCCACACACACACGCAGGCAGCCGAGCCCATAAGTGAGAGGTCAAATGGAGGGGAGGGGAGATCAAATGGAACAAAAGCCATCTTCCACTTACAAATCCTTCAGAGTTTGCAATCAATATTGAGATGTCAGGCCCAACATTTAAGTTAAATTTCTTCATTTTTTTTTTTTTTTAAACACACAGCAGAATAAACATTGTTTGGAAGCAAGGTCTCCTGGTGGCAAGTCTAATGTTCAGAGGTTGCGTTACTTTTTCCTTTTTTTTTTTTTTTTTTTTAAATTTAATATTTTGTTATCAGGTTGCTTTTCTTTTTGACTTTGGAGTCGTGCCCCCTTCTCGGCAGCTCAGTCCTGTTTGACCTGAAGCTGCTGCTTCCAGGCCTCATTCAAGTAAACCAGTCGCTTGTAGTTGAGGATAAACAGAATGAAGTTCAGCGCGTACGTTGTGATGCAGATGACGCAGAAGTCCTTTAGGACAAAGTAGAGAATGTAGCCCAGGTAGAGCGAACCCACCACCGACAAGATGGACGTCGTCATGAGGAAAAGGGCGGCCATTGCGCTGACGGTCATTCCTGCGGCAAGAAACACAAACGGAAGCTTAGCTGAGCAGAGAGGGACAAAAAAAGAAAAAAAGAAGGCAAGAAACCAAAGCTGATGAGTCTGCGCTTTCCGCCGAGGCGTCGGGACTCGGACAGTTCTCCTTTTGTACCGAGCGCCTCCTCGTGATGGCATTCACCTCTAAAATCTCAGCAGACTGGTCATATTGTGTTGTCACAGGAAGTGTGGTCACAGACTTTGAAGTCCGGGTTTCCTCGGCGCATTGCAACAGTTGGGAATTATTGTTTTTGTTCCATCCACATTTACGAGAGTCCACCTAAACCTGAAGGGTCCATGTTAGGACTGAAGCAATTCATCAGATTATTCATAATTCATCGATTACTGAAATGATCGTAAGCTAATTTAGTAATCAATTGTTCATTGGAACTTAAAAAAGGCTATTTGCTGGAAAAAAAACAAACAAAAAAAAAACCCAAAACATTCAGAGTAGCAATTAAGCCAAAACTGTACAAAAAATATATACATTTTGCAATTTAAGGTCATTAGCTGGTATGAAAAAAGTACGCTTTAATGATTATAGAATAAAAATGAGATGACATTTAGGGTATTTTGCTACTTATTCCTGAAATAACAGCAATTTGTTATGTGTTCTGAACCAACACCGAGGTCCATAACTGTTTGGAGCAGCACGATGTCACGTTCACTGACACGATCCGCTTTTAAAGCCGTGCTTTGCATATTCTGGATTCACAGTGTTTAACATGTAAACATGGTCGCAGACCTTGACCAGTGAGCATTATTGCAAGCTAATATGATGGACTTAACTGTGAATTTTAAGTGTGGTGTGCTTTTCTATTCAACCCACTTTAATCGGATTCCCCCAAATAAAATCCGGAGCAAATAGATGCGATTTAACCTCAGAATAAATCCAGCTGTTCTATGGAGGCCTCAAAGCTTGGCTAGCAGAGCTTGATGCTCAATTACGATTGTTTTTGATGAAATCAGATGTTTGTTTTGTTGTTTTTTTTTTTTTGCATTATCGTTCAGACTTCTGTTTGAACAGCATACATCCCCAATGCGATATGCATGTGCAGAAGAAGAACGTCGATGTCACACAGCATCGCACTTTTTACAGAAGTGATAATGGATGGAGCCTTTATGGATCGGTGTTAAAGGTCATAGCGACTCAAAGGAAGCTGATAAAAAAGAAAGCAGAATGAATAATGGCAGACTTTTGTGGAGTATCAACTGAAACTTCTGTACAGACATTTGTAAGGATGACTAAAGGTTTTTGGCAACATGCAGATTCCCGCTATCTGAGGTAGGAAACTGTACATGAAGGAGTGATGCTTTTTGTTCAGCAGGGACAGAGAAGCAGGTCAGTGTAAACAGGGCAACGCCAGAGGAAAACATGTCAACAGGGCTACGATGGAAGGGTTTATTAGCACATTCCTTTGTAATAATGGTGTAGTCAAAGCTCAGACGTCCGTCTAATTAGAACTCTGTGGCAATACTTGCTGATTGCAAGTGCTCTCCTTTTCAATAGACACAAAATTATGTTTTTACTGCAGAGCCGGTAAAAAAACATCCCACAAGACTTTCAGATTAATATTTGTTTATGAAACTTGTGCGTAATTTTCTCTAAACATTGCAAGCATGCATTTATGGTGAAAAATTTATGTTTGTGATGAGAATTTTTATTTATTGTCACTTTAAGCTTCAGTTAATGTTTGAAGAAAACATGTTATTTTTACGATTTTCTGCACTGTTTTTGCAACAAGAACGCCAATAAACAGCAGAAAATTTAAAAAAATATATGCAATTTAACAAGTTAAGTCACCCTTATTTAAGTAAGTGGAATCCTGAAAAGGCATTTTTTTAAAAATAGGAATGTTTAAGATCTAAAATAAGAACACATTACTTAATATTTTTTCTTATTATAATTGCCCACCCTTATGCACTACTGCAGTGGAAAAAAAGTGAAGTTTAAAGTCAGTATATGACAGACAGTTTGAACGTTAGAGGGGTGCTAACTTTTGGACAGGTCAAAGGAAATGGGAGAAATCAACATTTTCAAAGCAGCCTCCAGTGTTTCCCATGTTTCTTGGTTGAACTGAGCTGCTGCCGCTTCAGTCACACATGCGGAAAATTATGTGGCTTTAAAAAGAAACTCTTGTTCGGCGTTGAGCCCAGGTTGCAGAGCGAGTCAACCAGCATAACTCCCACCAACACACCGTGTGTGTGTTACTGGGAGGACGAGGTGTCTGTGACAAAGAAGCGTTCAAGTTCAAACAAGTTGCACATGAGAGCAAATGTTCACAATTATTGCTGAGCAACAGCAATGTTTACCTCTAGAGGTCAACCCACTCGATGCTGCTTTCATTTCATTAGATACCTTAGATTTAAAAGGACAAATATCATTTCCATATGGTGGTCTGATATTATTCCAGGGGCATCTGGGTCAAGTTTAGTTGTAATGTAAGAGGGGAGATTCAGCAGAGGCAGCGCCTGAAGCGAGGAAAAGTCTCCCGAATCTGCGGTGCTCGCAACAAATTGCGTCAATTGAAATTGCATCTTACCTAGCAAGAGCTGAAAGGCATAAAAGAGTATCCCGTAGACACTGTTGGGTTGGTTCAGCGCACTATCGTTCCCAAAAATTGAGCCCAGGAGTCCAAATCCTCGACCCCACCTAGACCAGGAAACAAAACACCAAAGAGGACAATTTTATTTTGGGAAATCAAAACAAAACAAAGTCGAGTACTGTGGCTAAGAAAGATAAAACATGCCCTGGCAGTCGGGGAATGATGCAACTTCCTGGAATTCTTAGAGAGCAAAATTTACAGAATTAGTGGTTTGCTAACTGGTGGTTTGCCCATCATCAATGCTGCAGTTAAAAAACAACAAACTTGTTTTCTTCTTTAAGGGGGGTTTTCCGCCTCCTTTTAAAGGAATTTCAGGTAGACATTTCCTGGAAAACTGGGAATGCCTCTGAGCAACGTTGTGCATTTCAAAGTGGAGCTGTGCTAAAACATGCTTCCAACTTGAGCCTGGAAAGCTTTATAATCTTTAAAACACCAGGCAAGACTATTTGACCAACTCATATGATCACTGTCATGTTTATCATAACATGAATTAAAACTTACACATTAGAGCTCACCATGTCCATTTGTGACAGATTTGAATCACGTCTGAAACAATTCATTAGATAAATTGCAATCAATTGCTTAAATAATTGCCCACTAAGTCAGTAATGGATTCATCATTAACATGGATACAGAGACTCACAAAAAGGGGTATTTTGTGAAAAGGGAAACTTCAGAGCAGTAATTAAGCCAAAACTGTACAAAAAAAATATACATTTTGCATTTGAGATAGAAACACCTCCATCAATTTTAGCTTTGCTAAAATGTTCCAATTTACAAAGCTGCAGTCAGAAAAGGTTTCTAGAAAACAAAAACAAAAAAAAAAACAGCAGGCATTTATAAAGGGTGTGTGCACTCATAAGGATTCCAATAAACAGCCAATTTAAAAAGTTTGGCACAGAGATCAGGGTTTGACTCAGTGAAGATGTTCAATAGTAAACACATGGTGACATCGTGTCCTTCACAGCACAGAAAGTCACGCGATGCCACAACATTGCGCGTGCGCCAAGTTCCTCCAACATCCAAGTTTAACGAGGCGGATGGAATCTTAATTGCTGTTCAGAACCAGAAATTATGTTCAAAAGCAACACCTTTGGTGATAAAAGGCTCCTTAAGTAGCAGAGAAAGTGGTTGAAACATCCAACAATGCCGGCACCTAGCAGACTTATCCTCTACCAAGACTACCGCTTATAAATTAGAAATGACTTAAATCAAATTCCCCATCTCCCTTCTGTTGCTCAAATTCAGTTTCCACAGGGGTTCTCAAAATATTCAACATTCCACTTCTCTTAAGAAGTTTCCATCTCAATCCAAGAGCAGAAGTAGCGAGAATCAGTTCGACCAGCTTTAGATCACAGAACAGCATTCAGCTAAACTCAGCTTCATATCAGCCACTAGTCAGAAAAACAGAACGTTTTTGCTAATTGTTGGGATTACCTACGATTCTACCTACGATTAGTCAGTAATGGAATTTAATCAGAGGCTGTAGATACTCATTTATTGAAATAAATAAATAAATTTAAACAAGTTTATTTATTGAAATTTATTGTTATATTATTGAAATAATACAAAAAAAAATCACGAGTGCAGTTAGCTTCGACCTTACAAGTTTGACTTCAAAGGGTGTCAGTAAAAGTCGCCGACTCGTAACTCTGCATTTCATTGGTACGCAGAGGTTAGAATTTCAATCTTTTTTTGCTTAATATTTACCTTTCAGCACCAAAATGAGTCAGCGTACCACTAATGTAACAGTTTAAAAAGTCAAATCCTCAGAACACGTTTTTCATTGCTAAACAACTCAAGCTAATTCCTGTATTTTATCTCATCAGTTTACGTTAGCTGTTTCAGTTTCATCTGTTACATTGATTGGGACAGCTGTCCCAATGAATGGCTGACAAGTATTTCCTTGTCAGACAAGTTTTTAATAAACGCTTAACTGACAAGTAAATACTTACAAAATAAAAGTTCATTTAAAACTTGTCATTTAAAATGTATAAAATAAACTACAGCGACACGAGTTTGCCAGGTTTAATACTGTTTAGCTGCGGCCATCGCTTGTGGTAGACCGCTTGTTGGTCATGGCAAATGGTTATTTGTCCTGAGTCAGGTTCTGGTTCTGCTGGAGGTTTCTTCCTGTTAAAGGTCTTTCCACTTTTGCTACATTCATGATCATCACAAAGGATTGCAGTAACATCAACACAAGCTCTACATGCTTGTCAGGGAGGAGTGAATTCTGTAAGTCAGTGCGTCGATGCAATCTGCTGATAAAAACTTAAGCTAATTTGAATAAATAATTGAGCGTGCCTTACGATTTGATAACCAAGATCAAATTAAATATATGTGTAATTGAACTGAAATAATTTTTTTTATAAAGTGCTTTGACAACCTTTGTTGTAAATTGGCGCTATATAAATAAACTGAACTGAAAGATGGTAGAAAAATAACATCTTGTTTTACATCACCACCTGATGGCTAGTCACTATAATAATACAGACACTGATATCATCAAGAGATTCCCTTACGTAAATTACTGTGATTCATGGGCAGGCTTCCAGAACCAACAAATATTCAAATTTTCAATCATAGCATTCCTATGAAAGTCCTGGAGAAACCAGAAGCTCTGCAAGGCTTTTAGGGGAGTTCAACTGCATAGTGTTGGCTGGCTGAAATAAGGCTATAACACGTATCCTTTGCTTACAAAATAAAAATAAAAAAACATTACATTTTGCCATTTGTTAGGGACAGTCAAGGGAATTTTTAAAAACTACACGCGATAAATGTCCTGTCTGTCAATCAGCTGCCTGCACGATAGTGGCAACAATTTCACAGGCCAATGTCAGCTTAATAGACTTCCATCTCGTCAGCTTAATAGACTTAGTAATAATATTCCATCTCATGAGTACCTGGAAAGTAGAATAAATATTTTAAAGGCAGGTCCAGGTATCTTTTTTTTTATCCATTCATTTGAGGTAACCATGCCATGGGAAACTACGGATTTACACTGGGAACATTTTTAATAAATGTTTGGCTGACAAGGAAATACCTACAGCTGTTTTTTTTTTTAGGTTTGAAGAGGGAAGGACTAATTTGACTCATCATCAAACAAATATGCAACAAGTCTTCAACAGTTTGCATTCCAGAGACATTGTGGCATTTTATTCTGCCAAGTTGGGTTTTGTCATTTGTGTGCGCTCTGCAAAACAACTGAGACTGCAGGGACTAAATCTGGCTTTTAAGTGGGGGATTGTTTTCCTGCAAATCTGGATTGCATTATCCTGAATTGAACGTGATATTTTGTGTGCAGTATGTGAAAATGTTGTCTTGGGTGACAAAAAAATAAATAAATAAAAATTTGGCACAGAAACTTAAAACTCTTCAATCAATCAGTGCATATAGGTCATTAATTAGCAAAAAAAAATTACAGTGATGTGCAAGTCTGAAACTAAGCACTCTCTCGAAAGTAACTATTTATTATAGCACAAAAAAATAAATATCATTGTACCAATGGGAACATTGCTAGCAGCAATGTTAATGTTGTGCAAACAGCTACATCCAGAAATTAATATTTCAATTTACACATAATGGGACAAGAATTAAAAACATGTTTTGATTCTCAGATTATTTTTTTAAATGCATCAATCAGGGTTTCCCCCAGTGTATTATAAGCCTGGCGGGCCACCAGGCTTTACTTGTGTCCCCACCAGGTTAAGCATTACTGACTTATGAGTATTTTTTAAATGTTTGCATTTTTTAAGACTTTATAGTTGGTGTTCAGGTATTAATCCTCAACCTCTCCAACACATAATCATCAAGTGAGATTTTCAAATTTCCTGCCAACATTTTTAACTCAAAAACATAACAGACTGCTGGATGAATGAATGCACTAGCACCCAAACACCAGGCTCAAGTTTTCTGGGGGAAACCTTATTATAATAATAATTTTATTAGTGAGTATTTTACTGTCTTTCCTCCTTCCAAGTTGCATTTCTATTGGAATTTGTCCCCCCACAAAAAAGGAGTTTTTTTGTTTTGGAACTGAAGACTGTTCAGGTCCAACAGTCTCCTGTTGACTTGAATACTGTAATCCTAAATTGGACAACGGATGAAACGTTTAAAGTCATGCTAAACAGAAACAACACACAGTCCAGTCGCAGCAGCCCACCATCAGCTGGCTGTGTGTGCAACTGGGACCAGCTCTGCCTTTCTCCAGAGTGAACGCTTCCACCCGGGGCTCAGACTGATAGCTGGGGACGAATGATGAATGAACAAGTGAGCGCCGTCTATTTAACGAAATACGGCGACGTTAAAAAGCCTGAACCGCAAGAAATTCTAGCTCTGGTCAAGTCAACAATACCAGCATTTCAATAAGCTCAAACCACCTCCCCTTTACTCTCACCAAGCAGATAAAGTTTGAGTTAAATATGTTGGAAAACTGCAATTAATCAATTATTTATCCGTCGTTATTCACTTAAAAGAAAGCCGGCTAAAAGTAACTTACGGTAGCCTGTTTGCTAGCGGTTAGCAACATTAGCTTTGCCGAGCTACATAGCTAATGTTGTGCCTATTAACTACAGGCAGGGAGCTTCCCCTGGAGCTTTCCTGCCTCGCAAATATCTTCCAGCATCCCTACAGTAACTAAAAGGCGGTTTTACAGTCAAGCTTCCGCGGTCCAAGGCAGCAGTCAAACATTAGCGTTTGACAGTTTGAAGCGCGCAACCCTTCCCAGGTTGCCACAATAGCAGCCAGCTTTCATTGAGCGCCACAGAAGGCGCTCTTTGCTGAATTCAAATTACCTGGAGCTGAACACTTTCGAGCAGCTGATGGAGCTGCTGACGTCGCACATGGCCTCATAAGTCGGGTCCCGGGCTTTTTCCCTCTCGACGTGAAACGCATACAGAGAAAGGAGAATGCCCAGCAGGCAGACGAGGAGCCGGGCTATTCTCTCCCACCGAGGGGTGGACACTCTCAAGACGGGCGCCGCCATCACTCTCTGGCCTAGCTGGAGACACGCATACACACGCAGCTGGTTCGCCTATGAGGCAGAGCTGCGACGTGGAAAAGCGTCAGGACGCGCCACGCCGTGAGGGGCGGGCCGCCGCCGAGCACTTTATTGTGGCAAAGCAACGCGCATCGGAGTAGTTTTATTTCCTGTAAATGCCGCTTTCAGTGCCTCAAAACTGTCCGGATGCCGCCGTTTAGAAATGGCATCCAAAAAAAAAAATAGACTTTTTCTTCTTTGTTTGATTACGACGTGAAATAAAACACAACCTAAAAGTCTTATTTTCATCTTGGAAAAGAACTAAACAAAACAGAAAGATTCTAAGAGTTCAGAACTTGATAATTGAGACCTCAAAATCCAATATGGCCACCTTGCATATGAAACTAATGTAGGAAGTCCTCTAAGGTACAGGTGTCAAACTCCAGTCCTCGAGGGCCGCGGTCCTGCAGTTTTTAGATGTGCCACAGGTTCAAAAAACGCTGGAACGAAATGGCTTAATTACCTCCTCCTTGTGCAGATCAGATCTCCAGAGCCTTCCTAACGACCTAATTATTTTATTCAGGTGTGGTGCAGCAAGAGGCACATCTAAAAGTTGCAGGACAGCAGCTCTGGAGGACTGGAGTTTGAGACCCCTGCTCCAAGGAAAATAGTTTCTTTCGCATTACAATAAGCTTACTGCAATATTTGCTGGTCTACTTTGTATACAGTCAAATGTCAATTTTAAACATGTACACATATAAAGAGCCTCAGTGAAAATGTGTCCTTGGACCAAAAAATTTATTGAAAATCAATTTATTCACTGCATGTTTGTGTCTGCAACACAAAATACACAATCAAAACTGTCAGATGACTCATTCCCTCGTGATAATAATTCAGAAACAGTCCAAACAGTTTGCATGTATTTTTTATTTCTTTCTCACGGATAGGTTTGTGACACATTTCTGTCCTAAAGAAAAGGATATAAAACGTCAGATATTTCACAACGAGATGTTAACATACATGGAAAATCTTTACGAAAACCTTAAATAATAGCAGAAAGTACGACGGTCACTGTCAGAACGGCTTTCAGAAAAAATATGTATTTATATTTCTGCACTTTGGACAATTTGTCTCTAATTTAACGATAGAGACAAATGTTTTTTCTTTTTTTTTTTAAAGGCAAACAAATACATAGTATTACTAATAATACTTCCCCTAACAATTATAGTTAGCCTGATCAGTAAGCACATCAATTAGAAGACAATATCCTTTTCAATCTTGGAATTTCATCAAAGTTCATTTTTTCATGTTTATCTCTTTAATATTAAACTTTCCACTGAGTCTGACTACCAGTGATCGCACCATAGCTTGAGGACCATGAATATAGAGCTGTGGCTTTAGGACATCTTGTGATAAGTGCTGTAAATCCTGTTGTTTTGGAGTGTCACAACATCAACCCAGCTTCGGTGCAGCAGAATTTGGACTTTGTTAGTCTCACTCAACATGCTCACTCTTCCATTTAAGAGCACACTGACATATGAAGGTCTTCTGAAAATGCCCATATTTATACTGAGATCATTAAATAAAATTCAGCTTTACTCGCTGCATCGCTCTGAATTACAAATGTTCTTTAATTATTTATTTATTTATTTATTTGCATGCAGACTACTAACATTTAAAATAGCCGTTATTTCTCTATTATTTCTTGCAACTCTAGATACTTTTTGTCAGTTCAAAGCATGCGCAGGACATACAATGAAATCAAAATTGTGTTTGTCTCTCTTCATGATGAATTAAAGTTAAAATACTTTGTAAATAAATAAATGAATAAATTCCACAATTCATTTATTTATTGCACGTGTTGTTTAAAGTTTTGAGCTTTTTTTTTTAACTGCTTCAATAAAGAAAAAAAAAAAAAAACCTATATCACATCAGCACACACCAGCAACAATAACAGCATGACTACCAAAACAGAAGGTGGGGCCGTCACGTGACTTGGCGAACATAAACAAAGAGTGACGTCATCTGTTGACTTGCTCCCAGACGCCGACCGCGAGGAAAAGACAGCCGACTGTCCCGCGTCTCCAAATGGCGACAGACATGGAAAGACTGGCCTCTTTCGAGGAGGCCTACTACGACCAGTACGACTACTACAACCTGCACGAATACCCGTGCCACGCCGGCGGCAAGGGCCGAACCAAGAGGGAGATCGAGCTGAACACGAACCGCCATTGTCCCGCGGGACACGAGAGGAAGCTCGCCGAAAAATATCACAACAGCCAAATGAAGCGCAGAAGAACCAAGAGCGCGTCCTCGTGATGCCGTTGTTTTTGTTTTGCTTTTCTGGATGCTTATAGGTGAGAATCATAGTAGAAACGATCCAAGTAGGGAGGCGATGTTGTTGTTGTTGTTGTGTGTTCCCCCCCATGCAGATATTTTGCTGACAAATTCTGCTCGTGGCTGAATTGGACGTCTATTTCCAACATTTGCTTGTCACCCTGTCTTCCTGCAGGTCAGTTGGATTTCTGACGTCGACAATGGCCACGAGTCTCCCTGGTCTTTCCCGATCCAGCAAACGGAGGCCGTGACATTGAGGACGTCAGCCGTTCACCGGTCACGAGAAAGCCCCGTAACAGGAGCCAGCCCTCTCATGTTCCAGCTGTGCGACAATATTTAGTGTTGGGCGATGTGGGGGTCAGTTTGTGTGTGCTTGATTTACCTGTGTAAACATGGTGTCCGTGGGCGAAGACGGCATCACGCTGTATTTTAATGAAATAAAAACGTCTTACTTTTAAGCTTCTTTTTCTCCCCCGGTTAGTTTATTTGATCTACTTTTCTTCTTCTTCTTTTTTCTTTAAAGGTGCTGTAAAACAAAACAAAACAGGAGCTTCTGCGAACGTCAACTTTTTAAGTGTTGTTAAAGTAAAACATAATTAATTAAATAAACAAACATGATTGAATGTATATTCAGCATTGATAGTATGAATAGAAAGAGATAATAATTCAATAGGGAACACGGTTGGGTCGTTAGCATGATTCTAACGGAAACTGGCAAATAATTTTTTTTCTTAAAGCCCTGGACCGGCTCCGGCGTTAAAACTCCGTGATTAAAATGAGACAAAAGGTCTAAATATGAATAATAAGAAGCTCAAATGTTATGAAATTAAGTCAGAGAATCAGTCACGCTTGAAATCACCATTCTCCATCCCCCCCAACGGAAACTAATGCTTTTATTGTGAAGGACAACACTATCAACCGGAAGTACTTCTTACTCTGTTACCCGGGTCAACTAAAAGCAATAAAACTAGTCTTCTTTTTTTCTTTTTTTACCTCTGCACCTTCCGGGAAAATGCAGATATGCTGTGTGTGCAGAGAACAGACACCAAAATACAGATGTCCAAGCTGCAACATACGATAGTAAGTCAACGCCTCTACGTGCTTACGAGTTAACTCATCACGTGTTAGCTGATTTTGTTAGCGTAAATAAAACACTTGAGGATAGCTCGTTCTGATCTGTGTTCGTGTTTACTTTCATACAACGTTACGTTTTCTGTTAAATAAAACATAGTCACGCATGTAAGAATGCTGTGGCTGAACCTAAGCAGTGTTATTTTGTTATTTCCCCTGGTTTTTAATGAATTATTGTTATAAAAAAGAACATAGCAGAAACCTCGTCACGTGGTATAGGAGCCGGTTTGAGACAAACTTGGTAGCGATTAGTCCACCTAATGGCTTCGGCCAGGGTTTTTAAAAATTATTATTTTAGTATTGGTTCACACTTATAAGTTAGGGAATAAATCGGCGTAACATGTTTCAAATATCTCAGAATTTATCACGATTATCTCATAATGAACTGTTTATTTTTTGTCCTCCCTTTTTTCTATAAATCCCTACTATAGAGCGGGATTATGCGTCTTTGCTAGAGTTTCGCTCTAATTGAATTGTTTCCTTTCTGTGTTGCGATCTTTGCAGTTGTTCGCTTGGCTGTTACAAGAAACACAAAGGTATGGACGTGTGGATCCTGTACGTTTCTATTACTACAGCTGATGTTGACAGTTATCTTGTGTTCAGATTCCTGCCGTCCTGTAGAGAAGCCTGCTTCGTCAAATTCTGAATCTAAAGATGCTGCTGGATCTGGTAATGATTCCAACGAGCTTATATTGTTCTTATTCTCTAAAATGCCCATCAAGCATTTGTTTTGCTGTGAAAATAAATAAGTAAATAAAGAAACTATTTTTGGAAAATTGCTTTAACGTTAATGTTTTCATCCACTTCTACTTTCTTAAGATATTTCCAAAACTATGATTTTCTTCCGTGTAAGAGAGGGATGTGTAGTCGCCTTCATTCTTTCTCACTGATGAAAAACCATATTTTCCACCAATCGTGTTTGATTTATCTTACAGCAGCTGCAGCTCAGTTTTGCAGGACAGAGCCAGCATTTTGTTTGTTTTAAACATTTTTAGCTGGTTTGGATCCATACTGCTGACCCTTTCATTAATCTTATTTGTCTTTACTAAAGAACAGATTTAGTTCACTTTTCTTTTATGTCTCCATTTTTTAGCCATGTTGCTTTGAGTTTTCCGTCCTGGTGTTTTTGCCTTCTTTGGTCGACCTCAGATATCTCAAACCTGTGGCTCTTTAGGGCTCCATACAATTTTGCCAGAACTGCTAAAGATTAGATATTGTGTTTTTAAGTATAAAGGTGATTTAAATAGCTGCTTTTATTGATTTTTTTTCCAGGTATTGAACTGCGAATTACACTGATTCCAGGATTTTCTGCTATACTTTTGTCAAGAATAAGCTATGCCATTAAACAGAATGATGTATCTTTAAATTTTGTCCCTTTAACTTCTCAGCAGAGCCTTTGCGTTTGGACGATCTCCTGCATGAGGACGACGTCATCGACAAAGTGCCACCACAGAGGCTCCAGTTATTGGGTATTAAACCGGTTTTATGTTTCTCTGTAAATTTTAACGCGGTTTGAGGGGCGGGGAGAGCGATGATAACATGTCGGCGTTTTTGTTTCAATCGTGTTGCTTTCCTACAGGCCAGTCAACAGAGCTCAGAGGTCTCCTCTGCAACCCCCACCTGAGGCAGTTGCTGCGCTCCGTTGACGATGCAGAGAGCAAAGCGTCCGCCATGAAGGCCGCCATGCAGGAACCTCTGTTTGTTGAGTTTGCAGATCAGTGTTTAAAAGTTGTGGAAGGTGAAGGCAACGCGTCATCTTCTATTGATTGATTTATAAAAATTACACGTGCAGCTAATTTTTTATATTTCTTCATACAACTCCAAACACGCTGTATAGCAATATCTGCCTCTAATGACGCTGTATGTAAATAATGTTCAAATAAAGGCTCAAGTTTTCATAGAAAATTGATCAAACACATATGCACAAGTAATTTATTGACATTTAACAGTTATATAAAATATTTTTTACAAATCGACATTAAAGCAAAGTTTCTATAACTGTGATTCAAGTTTGCATACATGGATCCCTTTGTACCTGACAAAAACTGCTGATAAATTATGTGACATTTTTATGAATCTGCATTTGAAAGAAATGAAAAGCAAAGTGTTTCACATTCTGAGTCAAAGCTGTTCATGAGAACTTTATAATGGCTAAAAACTGGAAAGTTTAGTACAGACCAGCCACTTTTCCAGACAGAAATCCATAAAAAACAAAAAACCCTCTTTGGTATTTTGTTTTACATTTACAGGCAGGTCAGGCCATTCGAAATACTTTGTTTTTAAGAGCAGCAACATTACCACAAATGGTAAATCAAGTTAATTGGTTTCATGCATGCAGTAAATCAGAAGAAAAACTTTTTTTGTTTTTTATAGAGATTTTCTAGACCAGCACTATATGCTGCATAATATGAAATTTGGTTGATGTAAAAGGTAAAAGGTCAGGTAAAGACATGAAAAAAGTAGTTGACACAGTACTGCTTCAGAATGAATACAAATGTGTAGCTTTCAGAATATCACTGTGTTGGTCTATTACTTTAAAACTCAAGTTTGTGGCGTTGATGTGACAAACTGCACTAAACTACATGGTAAAAATCTAATTCCCTGTTTTCTGAGTCAAAGCTGTCAGTCAATGTTACGTAAAGGAAAATATGCTGGAGGTTAAGCATATAAAAATATTGCACTTCTTTTATTAAAACTGAATTTCATAATGCCTAACAGCTACACTGTCAGACGAATCAAGCTCTCGCACGCATACAAATATTAAAAAAAGTCCTTTGTCCAAGTCAATTTCAAGTGTCTCCTTGTAAATTATTTGTTAATGTGCTTGAATTTGAAACACAAATGGAAAAAATGACTGCTTATTGTTCGTACATGAATCAAATGTAGTTATTCCAAAAGGCACTCTATAAGGCCTTATGGACTCAGACATAATCTCATGTAGGCAGCGGCTTTGACTCTATAAGGTGCTAAAATTGTGCCATCTTCAGTACATCTTAGGAACTGCAACCAGATTGGTTTTTGTGGTTTTGTTGAGAAATGCTACAATTAAAATGACCATAATTAAAATATTTTAGATATCAATCACATAAATATTGCTAAAAAAAACTAACTCAAATGTATAGAAGATTTTTTTGATTTGATGCTGCGTTACCCATCTGGACCACATAACTGTACATGCAAACTTTGACAAGTATTTTGGCAAAAAAAACAAAAAACTATTTGATTTAGTTTTCAACAATAGATGCAGAGGAGCTTAAAAGAGTTATTTTTTTCTTTGTGAAGCTAACTGAACCATTTCCAATGAAGTTACTATAAAGTCTTCTCCAGCAGGATCTCGTTGAACCCCGTCACGTCGCTCTTCAGGTCCGGCTGCATGTCGGCATACAGAAGGGGCGAGCGCTGATAGTGCAGTTTCACAGAACCCTGTTGGAAGAAGAAAAACAAAAATTAAAGAATCAAATTTAAATCAATTTGTAAAGAAGGAATCGTGTCCTCACCCTGGGCCGGGCCCGAATGGAGGCGAGCCCCTGCTTGTACTGGTTGGTCTCCACCTTGTACTCTCCTCTCCTGGACGGCAGGTTGAGGGAGGTCATCACGGAGATCATCTTCTGGAAGCCCGTGGCCGTCAGGGAAACGGTGATGGAGGGCGCCGAGGCCAGAGCCAGGCCCATGGGCCAGCCGCGCACCGGGACGGGCTCCTGGAAGCTCGAGAGCTGCACGGAGCCCCGCTCCCTGATGACGGCGCTCAGCGCCGGGCCGTCGTCCGCCGCCAGCTCCTCAGCGTTGTCGAGCTCTGCTTCAGCCAAGGACTTCAACAACGCCTGCACGAGTATTTACACCGTTACGTCACGTCCCGTGTCCAAGAAGAAGAAAAAAAGATAGAAAAAGGAAGAATGTTGGCGCTCGGTCTCACCTTCCGTTTCTTCCAGGTGGTTTGGATCACTGAGGCCGCTCCGTTCCACCTCCGGATCTGCTTCCTGACCAGCCAGGACCTCACAGCTGCACACAGCCCCAAACATCCAACCGTAAACTCACAAGTCATGTCGAGGTTCGGGCCGCAGCCAATGACCGTCTCAGTGATCGATTCATCTATTGATTATTCTAAAAGTCACATGCTACAGATATTTAATACTTTTTTTTAAAAATATAATATTAGAAACAAATTGAGAGATGTAAACACAGATGTTTTTATATATATTTTACTAGCTAAAATGCAATAACAGTATTATTTTAGTGTATTTGTAGCAAATCCACAATGAAGCATTTGGGCCATGCTGAGAAAAAAAAGAATGAAATATGAGAATAAAGTTGTACAAGAATAAAGTGGAAATGTGAGACTTCAAATTTAGTTTTATGAGAATGAAGTCATACTATAGAATTTTTCTTCTGTTGATACTATGGTTTTATTCTGGTAATATTACAACATTTTTCTCAGAATATTATGATGTTTTTGGATTAACTGATTAATAATTAGGCAGCAAAAAGTGCTTCGAAGGATTTTTTTTTTTTTACAGAATTTGAACCAGATGAACTATGTCACAATTGGGATTCTGGGTAAAACTTATTTATTTATTTTTTCATTTGAAATGTAAGAGTATATATTTCTTGGGCAGTTTTGGCTCAATTTCTGCTCTGAGTGTTTTATTCCTTTAGTAAATGGACTCCACTTAACAAGTGATTGATTTCTAAGACAATTATTTCAGTAATCAATTCATCACGATTAATCCAATTAATCGTTTCAGCCCTAGTTGAGATTCATGAAATGACCTAAATGCGACACGTGTCTATCTCAGACTTGCGCCGAAAGAAACATCAGAAAGTAAGACGACATGTGTCACGTCCTGCTTCGAAGAGGACAACCTGTCTGGACCTCCATGTGCCGACACCGTGTGTTCCCGACTCACCGGGTCAGAGTCAGCACTCACAGTGGAATCGAGGCCAGGCCAGCTCTGCCTAATTCCTGCCAGCTTCACCTGTTCGGAGCGGCAACCCGTTTACCTGCTTGGATTAACGTGGCAGACTGCCGGCGGGCGAGGCGCCGGCGCCGCTGGTGTCGCAGCCAGCAGCACTGAATGGTGAAGGCACAGCGCGACAGGATCTTCCCTCTGTGATCCTCCAGCAGGTCGAGCTGTGAAGAAAGACCCGACTGAGTCGAAACGTCACGATGACAAACTCCTGGCGATAGTTTGGCCGTCAATTCATCTCTCGTGTTTGTCGTCACAGTGCCTTAAAAATAGCTTCCCCACCACTTTAATTTTTTATTAATATAACTTTTATTGGGATTTTGTGCGACGGACGCAAACAAAGTAGCACATAATTGTAAAGTTTAAGGAAATGGAAACCTGAATAACGTGGCATCCATTTTTATTCGGTCTGCTCGACTCTCATTCACCTTCAATACAATCGGCTGCAAACATTTGATTTAAGAAGTCAACGTTTTTGCATTCGGGTGTTAACGGATTGATATAGATTAGAGCTGCAACTAATTATTTTAGCATTCAATTATTCTATCAATTATTCAAATGATTAATCAAAAAAATAAATTTTTTGCCTCAAATTCTGAATCTTTGTTTCATTTAACCTCTACAATATTAGAAGGAGCGCACTATTTCTAATACCACAGTAGTAAGACAGTCTATTTTCTATAATAAGAAATAAAAATATTTTACTACTTTTTTTAAATATGAAAATAAACAGTTGGTGTTTTCTTGTTTTTTATCCTTCATCCTGTCTTCTGGTCCTACCTCCCTCTTCACTGAACCTTCTCACTCCCGTTTTTCTCTTTCTGTTTCCTCTTTGTGTCTGTTGCATTTACATTAAACCCAAAATCATTTCTAATAAAGTTATATATCTGGCCTGAATGAAAGAGCAGCAAGAAGTCAGAAGGGAAGATATAAGAAGTTATTGTAGAGTATTCAGCAAAAAAAGCAAAAGGTTTTATTTACCAGTTGCAACATAATGGTGGACACAATCCACCATAGGCTTTTCTTTGTAAAAAGATTAGAAAACCATGTACTACGCACAACTTTTTGTTGGTCTGTTGCACATAATCCCAATGAAAGAGAGAAATACTTTTGCACACCACTGTAGTTAGCCACTCACCATTGGCTGGGTGAGGAAGACCTTAGTCTTCCCGCAGTGCACCAACGACCTGCGTTCCTCATGCGACACATTATGCTGCAGCGCCACCCGGAGGAGCTTCTCCACCTCCTGCTGAAGAACTTCGGTGCCTTCGGCGTCGGGATCTGAAACACAGGAACGAGGATGAATAAAGGCTAAACCAGCCAAACAACGTCTGTGTCAGTGTGAGGACTATTGAGAGCTAACGGAAAACATTAAAGTGCTTCAAACTCAGAGATGAAGAGTTGTGGCTTCAATAGAGGTGATTTAGGGCTGCAATTAACGGTTATTTTAGTAATTGATTATTCTATCAATTAGTTTGATGTTTAAGTGAACGAAACAAATTGGCACATTCTTCAGTTTTTTCACTTAACCTTTTAATCTTATTAGAAGTACCTTTTGAAAAAAAAGATTTTAATATCAAAGTAGAATGTACATGGTGTGGAGAATTACGTTAATAAAGGAGAAAAAATAAAAAGGGAAAAAAAGAAAATCAATTCTTAAAAAAAGAAAATCATTTTTTTAAAAAAGAAAATCATTTTTTCCCTTGCTTTATTAAATAAATAAAAAAAATATTTCTTAAAGTGCAACAACACAGCATTCCTCACAGAACGCTTGATAATTTACAGCAAAAAATAAATAAACTCCAATTAATCGATTACTAGTTGACAATTCTTCCAATAATCGATTTGTCACGATTAATCAGATTAATCATTTCAGCCCTAAAGATGAGTGAGTAATGTCAGCAAACAAAATATCCAAAATAAAATACAACCAAGAACAATAAAATGGGAATAAAGACCTACAGATATGGAAAACTATAAACAAAATTTCCCTTCAAACAACGTTAAACAACTGAATGAAAATTATAAATGGAGCTTGTGTCAATTTATCACTAATTGACTCCCTGTTTATTGCGACAGGCTTAGACGTGAAGCATAGAAATCAGCTGATGCTGCGTGAACATTGGAGGAAAACAAATGCTGTAAAGTGAACACAACTTTACAGCCCAAAGACAGAGTGGTGAGGCATGCAGAGGTGGCGTTTACCTGCAAAGTTCAGAAGAGGCTAAAAAGTCTTTCAAACTGAAAAGTCCCAAGAAAAGTAGAGAAGTCATTTTACCGAGAAGACAAATGAAAGGTAAGGAGAATAAACCTGCGGATCCAGGTAGAGGACATTAAATTATCAGACCTCCCCGATCGACCAGGAACCGATTCAATAATAATATAAACTCACCAGCATCCAGACGTCTTGATGGTGAACATTTCCCGATCGGTCCATAACGCTGGACAAAGCTTTTCAAAGGAATTCTGTGCAACAAAAATTAAATTAGATACTCCTAAGGCTTGGAAAAATATCACACTGCTAGAGTGTGAGGAGGAAAGCTGCACCTTATTGGGAAGCCTGCAGCGCTGATGTGAATGGTCTCCACGATCCCACAGGCCTCCAGCTGCAAGATAACCTGACGGAAAAGCATCAGACATGTCCCTTTGGTGAACGAGGACGACGACGGGACGATGTTGACATGTGAGCCGATCGGTGTACCTCTCTGTTCTGGAAGGTGAGCGGCTTGCAATCGGAGTTGGGTTTGATGCAGCGGGTGTAGTGAGGAGTTGTGGTGAGGAGGAGCTTCATCAGGTTCTCCAGTGAGTTCTACACGCAAAAATCACATCATTTCAGAATCTTTTCATCTCTAATCTCCATTGTTTTTATTCAAGATTAAATTCTAATAATTTCTATCTCACTTTCTTTCTGCTTCAGTCAGCTGAGGTTGTTTTCCATAAATAAATCGTCTTTCTATTACAATCAGTAATTGATTAAACGATTAACCAATTACTGAATGAGTATTTCCTGCAATGAGTATTTCCTGCAATCACAATTAATCTGACTAATTGTTTCAGCCCTGATTGCTGCCGGAGTGTTATGCTTAGATGCAGTGTGTTAACACACACACACTCACATCGGGACTATGGTTAAACCTTTCCAGGCGAAACAATGCAACCCACAGCAGGCATGTTGATAATAAATGCTGTCGTCGTTTACTCCTACCTTAAACTTGGAGATCACTGTGACTCTGCTGAGTCCCTTGCCATTAGGAATCTCAGTTTCCTGGTCAGAGAAGATCTCATGAAGAAGGAGATTGTCAGATTTCTGAAGCAGGCCAATGAGCTCCGGTGGCACCGGATCCTGAGAGAGAAAACCTCAGTGAACACGACCAGACGGAGGTTTGGTCGCTCTGTTTGAACGAGAGCTGAAAGACGGCCTCTTACCTTGTTTTTCTCCACCATGCCTTCTAACTGGTAGCTAACTTTTCCCGCGTAATGGGTCACAGTGAAGTGTGGCGCTTTGCTGAACTTGTCCCAGCAGATGTTGTCGTTGCCGCCCAGCTCCTTCTCCAGGCGACCCCTCAGCGCTGTGGAGTCCGAGGCTCGGTTCAGACGACTCTCCTTCAGGATGAGATAGAGCTTTTCAGAATGTGGATGTGATAGCTCGAGATGCTCTGAGCAGGCTTTTCCTGGTCAATACCAATTTGTTTCTTAGACTTTGAGGTTTTGATTTTTTTCAAAGATCTACATCATATAAGAGAGAAAATATGACTGTTTAGGTTCCTTAATCAAGGTACTTTCAACAAAAATGAAAGAATGATTTATTAATAAAAACAAAAGTCCTTAACGCCTTATATGACTTTTATTCAGCAAATCAAAATGCATCTTCTTTGTTGACGCATTTAATCTCAAAATTCAGATTCTCCAGGAAGATGCAATGCTGTAATATTTTCTGTATTTTCTTATTTTCTGATCAGTCAGAAACACAGCTGAATTTTGACCAACCTCTTTGGTCGTCTTCTAATTTAACCTCGTTTCACGGCGTCTCTTGACAGCCGAACAAGCGAGATGAATGCGATTGTGTACGATTTGCTTTTATTCTGTTATTTTAGTTGTCTGGTTATAACTAAAATAACCAGACAAAATGGCACCAAGCAACAGTATGTCATTGTATTTGTTAGCCTCTATCTGAGCTACGCCCTAAAAAAGGGTGTTCCCTAATGTGTTATATCCTTTAAGCTTAGCTTTGAGAGTGTTTCCCAACATGCCACTTCCTTTAGCTTTGCAACTAGCTAAAAGAAATAGAAGAAAAACACAGAATCATTTTTTCTCAACAGTATAAAGGGCTCGATTTCCTGAACGTACTTAAAAATTATTAACTGTGTTAAAATCTTTTTTGGGAAGGTTGTGAGCAGCAATGTCAACTTTTTTGTAAGATCATGCATTTTCAAAGATAATGAAGCTTTATTGGTTAAAAATGAATCCATCTCCTGCGATGTACATTGAAATCATTAAGAGTTTACCTCATTAAGAAGAGAAAACACACTGATAGGGCTTCCCTCTAAAAGGTCGAGACAACCCTGGTTGTCTTGGTATTTAACGAAGGACCACTCCAAGCCTTCGGACACGTACTCTTCCTGAGGAAAGGCAACAAATGGCATTGATGTTTAAATACCAAAACGTACATCCGAATGCATCCCTGCTGACGTGGTAGAAACACTGAATGTCTTTACCTGCTGAGCTCGCAGGTAATGGGCCACAAAGTGCTGCTGCAGTTTCTCATTGGCGTAGTTGATGCACAGCTGCTCCAAGTTGTTGATCTGAAAACACTCGAAGCCGTACACGTCCAGCACGCCTGCAGATTACAGACGACGGTCAGAGCTGGTGTGGAGAAGCTTGGGGTCATTCCAGGGAAAAGAGCTTTACCTATGAAGTTGCACCATTTGGACTGGTCGGCGCATATGCAGCTGTTGATGAACGTCACTAACCACTCAAATAATCTGGCAGGAAAAGGAAAACGTTGAATGTATCGTTAAATGTGTTAAAATGGGGAAGAGAATGTAGCCATACCACTTCTACTATTTTACAATTTGTCTACTTACAACCACTAAGTTTAGAGTGATTTACTGGGACTTTATGTGGTACAACCAATACTTACTTTTTAAGTGAAATGATATTTTTTCACACAATAATCTAAAAAGTGTGACAATATGTATTCGTGTTCAGAATTTGACGCCCTGAAATTGGACTACTGTCTCTTTAAGAAACTCCTGCTCTTTCTGAAACTCCCCCTTGAGGAAGTCATCATAACATGGCTCCTCTATTAACCCTTTGACAACGATTTTACCAGTATTACACTGAAGAAGTAGCTCTTATCATGAGATCAGCAGATGCGCAGCGCCACAAGGTGTTTGCTAACTGCTGCTGGCTAGTCTGAAGGAGCTGAGTGAGGGAATTGCGAGAAAGAGAAGAAGTTAGGTCACTTGGAAACTGCAGTTGTGCCTTGAAGGTCACTACTGCATCTACACAGGATAAATCTGCAGGCGTTTTGTACAGCTGAATGGTTGCCACGGAAGATATTTTTCAACCAATCAAAGCAACACTTCAGGTAGATTGTTGATGAGGGAATAACATTATAACATGACATTAAGCACAAAAAAGTTGATTCTTCTTAATACTGCCCCTTTAAATTTCTCCTCAGACTCTTTCACATGCAGTCTGACATCGTCCACTTCACAGTTACGTCCTACTTCATGCTACTCTAAAGTGCTAAGGTGACTAATTTCAATGAATACTTTGCTGACTACTTGCTGAGCTACTTAATGATCAACTTGCAGCTCTTACTGGCCGTAGATGACCTTGGCCAGGCAGTCCCGCCTCACTCCGCACTCTGCTTGGGAACAGGGCTTCAGAATGTTTTGCTTCCCCGCCTTCAGCGTCCTCACTCTCAGACACCTGCAGAGCTCCTCCGCTGGGACGCCCAGCAGCTCGCCGGCTCTCTGCAAGAAGTCTAGAAAGTCGTGCTTCATGACAATCAGCGCACGAGCTAATTTTAGCTTTCCAAATTTGTAGCTTCTTTTTTTTTTGAGTGTTTGTGCCATTTGCTGATGAACCTGTGGAATCAAAGCTACCTTCAGAGTCTTGGTCAAGGTCACAGGGTTGGGATTCATTTGTTGAAGAGCAGAAACTCACATTCCCCAATTGCAGAATCCCCGCTAAAATCTGTGATGAAAAAACATTACATAATATTATTATTAAGCGTGAACCTGCAGATTACGATTTTGGCTGATGCCAACAGTCTGAAAAGTTGCAACATGTAGTGTCAAAGTCACTAAGTTGGCAACAGTGGGATGGCTATCAGATGCATTAACCTGATGGGTGACAGAGGCCGTCAAACATTTTGTCACATCCGCCAAAACTGTCAAGTTAAATTGTATATTCTTAGTAGAAACGTTTACTCGCGTGATTTATTTGTTGTTGTTGTTTTTTTTACCAACTTAAGAGCGTAATAGTGTAATAAAACAAAAGAAGTAGTCAAATTTGTTTTAATGAAAGGTGATGTGTACACAACTGAGTCAAAACTTCAGAAGCGTTTAGTCGATTTGCCTTATTAAAATAAATATTTATCAAGGGTTTCATTGGAGATATAGTAAAAATGTAGTCAGTTAAAGCTGTATTTAGGTCTCTATCTTTGGAACTGGATTATTATTAAGATTTTGTCTCAGTACAAGAATGCAAAACGTATGGTTATTGAAAGGGGAATACTTTGTTTTTAAATAAGATTTAAAATTACCTGCAATCTTTCTGCCACAATTAAAAAGTAAAAGAGCTTCCATCTGCATCAACCACCTGTGCTGGGGGGTAATTTTGTGTTATTATTAAATTGCAGTCGCGCCCATACAAAATCAGTCAAGAGTGGCCCCCGGGTCACTCTTTGGACACCCGGGCATTAGACCAAAAAGAGAACAGTGGCTGATTTTCAAACCTTTGAGGAGTTAGGCAGAATCAGTGAATAACATCAGTTTCACATTTCAGCCAATCACAATCTCCCACACTTTAAGAAATCGGTGCATTTATTGGTGCATCACTAATTAATGTGCAGCTGAAGAAGCTTCCATAAAGACAAGTTACTTGACACTGAATCTTATTCAAATGATTAACTGATGTTACTCTTACCCTAAATATCTGTCTTTGCCTTTCTGCATCAATTCCGAGGTGAACCATCGCTTCAGTGGTTTCAAGAAAACCATCCTCTGTAAAAAGAAAGAAGAAATTAAGTTATTTGCGCAGAAGTTATTAGGAGGCCTCAGCAGACATACAAACAAACACCAACCCTCAATTTGTTTTTCACAATTCGGCAGCCACACAAAGCGCTGATTCTGTGGCATCTTCCAGTCTGTTCTCTGCTCATCTGTGGCTCCTTTCATCATCTATAAAGACACACCAATATAGGTCAAATAAATAAATACAGAAATAAATCACACGGGCATCAGGTGTCGGGGGTTCACCTGGTAGAAGATGTGGAAGTTCCTCTCGTTGGCTGGCTGACAGGCCACCCTGGTCTTCTCCAACAAGTACGTTTGAACTGAAGCGCCGACCAGCTGCTGAGCCCTGGATGTGAGTCGAGTCGGACAGGGTGAGCTCACCCGCTGACAGGATGTGAGGTCATGAAAAGTGGAAGGAGCCACTGGTACCTGTTCATCTGCAGCTGGATGTACTTTCCAAAGCGGCTGCTGTTGTTGTTGCGCAGCGTGCAAGCGTTGCCTGGAGACAGAGACCGCTGACGAATGACTCGTCACACCAGTAAATCTCACTTTGGTGAATTAGTGTGAAGTGGATGGAAAATTGGTAGTAGGGTTTTTAATTAATTAATTTTTTTTCCTGAAAAGTGTGCTGTGCATTTATGCTCAACATCTCAATAAAATACATTAAAGTTTGTGGTGGGAGCATAACAACATTTTTAAAAAAATTCGACCTATGAAAGAGCAAAGTATGAATACTTTTGTAAAGGGAGTGTATATACATAAAGTTTATTGTCGTACCAAAAGCTTCCATCAGAGGACTGGAGTCCAACACTCTCCTCTCAATCCTCTCCACCGCATCCTGACTGCTGACGGTCTGGGCAGAGGCTGCCACAGTGGCGTAGTATTTCATCAAGCAGCGAGACGTCCATGTCTAGAACAAAGGGAATTATTGACAGACCAAGAGCGACTCAAAAAAATATTTAAAAAATCTGAGCAACAGCAGGGCAACTCCACAGACCTATAACAAAATCAAAAGGGAAAAGCTAAAGTGATATTTTAAACATCTGTTTTTACCTTCCCGGCGCCGCTCTCACCGCTAACAACCAGCGACTGGTTCACTGGCTCCAGCTGACCCTGAACGTTCCTGTAAGCCTCCTCCGCCACAATAAAAATGTGAGGTTTGAACTCCTGGAATTAAAAAGAACCCGGAAAGTCCACATTTAAATAAGAGCCAACGGGTCGATGACGGCACAGCACTTTTGCAGCGGCGACGTGAATACCTGAGGCTGAGTAGCGTAGTGATACTCCTTCATCACATCCACAGAGTAAAGATCTGGAATGGGCTGGAAAGGGTTGAGAGCCACCAAGGTGCAGCCGGCGTGGGTGTAAAACACCTTCAAACTGTACCTGGCCTGCAGGCATTTCAGCACTGGCAGAAAGCGCGGCGGAAAATTAAACAGAAAGACGTGACGAGGACAAAGTTTTGAACTCTGCTGGAGCATTTGGACATTTTGCACTTGGTACCTGTCGCTGGAGTCACAGGGTTCACTTTGGTGAGGTCATCAAAGGTGTGCAGCTGGTCCTCGTCAATAAGAAAGGCGTGGATGTCCTCCTCCAGTGGATCATTTCGGCTTTGGTGAGGTGAGTGGACTCTCTGGGTGACTCCCTTCACCTGAGTGGAAAGATTAGGTGAGAAAATGTTAAAAGTAGTGATGCAGTTGAAGCTAAATGGATGATGATGATGATGATTATTGTGATTTTGTACGTGGTAGGTTTGTTATTCCCACAACATGAGGGACATATTTAAAAAACAAACACCTCTCTGCAGAAATCAAACAACTTGTGACATCTTCATGACATTAAGGGTCATTCAGGGTTCCTTCAAATTTTCCATTTTAAAATCCAAGCATTTCAGAGCATATTAGGGGACTTTTCATCAGTTATTTATGACACTAAAACATTCTATTAATTGGACTTCAATCGTCTTTTTCTTGCAGAAATCTGTACAGGAAACAGGGCTGTTGTTTGCTTTATGCTAGAAGTTAAGTTTTTTTTGTTTGGTTTGGGTTTTTTTACATCAAGATGAATCTAAAGTTAATCTAAAATAACTAAAAAGAAACAATTTGTAAATATCCAAAATAGTGGTATCTAATTTTAAAACCAGACATAGAGGTCAAAAAAGCATTTGTGGCTATGTAAAATCCTATCTTTTATTTGATTTTTAAGTAAACAAAAACAACAACAATAATAATAAAATACTGTGCATGCGGATGCTGACATGTCTACAGTCTAAACATGGTGGCAGCGCTCAGTTTGGATGAATTTCATTTAATTAACAGGAAAATCAGACTTGTATTCTTCTGCGTTTGAGCTGCTGATCACTGCTTAATCCAAGCTGTGATTGACTGATTCATGAGTCTCTAATGTAATATGATTACTACATTCGCACACTCTGTAACCTCATGTTTTTTAGAATAAGAAGGCCAGTAAAACAAAACAAAAAAATGCATTTACTCAGTCACAAACAATTTGGCCTGACTAATGGACTCCTGCCATATGACCTGACCCTGCTGCCCTTCTTGAACACTGCCACCTGTTCAAGGTGTTCAGAGACACTTAATCCTAGTAGGTAGCCTACATCCCATAATAGAACCATGAAGTCATTTATGTAGGAAACACAGGCTGTAATTATCAGCATACGTCACATGGGATGTACACTAAGGTTTGAAACGTCTATTATAAATTAGCAGTAAATGTGAACAACACAAAGAAAGTAACTTTAAAGTCATGTAAAGCGTTGCACGTTTATTTCCACTGGGAAGCTATTATTGATCAGGCGCAGATCGGTCACATTTACACACGTCCTTCAATTAAATAACAACAAATAAGCTTTATGACTGTAAATCTGGCGCTCGTAAGCAAGAGAAGGCACGGATTTCTGTCGTTTGGGTGAAACGCAACACATTGTAAGTGTATATACTCAGAGAAATATGTAAATAAACTCCCGGTGAAAAGCTCGTGCTCGGGTCCTAACTTACCGTTACCCCTCGGTTCCCGGGTCCCACAGCAACGTTCCGCGGGTCGGTGGAAGAACTCATTTATTTGGTACTTTTTCCCCCTGTATCTGGCCTCTACCGAGAAAATAACACCTCTGGGCCTTATTTCCGATTCAAGTGAGCTGATACTCTATGATAAATGAGACGTCACTCGAATCGTCCCTCTGCTGCCAGCTGCAACTCAAGGACGACTTCTGCCGGTGTTATGCCGAGAAATGCATGCCTGCCGAGAATTGCATCCCCTGTCGCGGGAGCGCGCATCGCTCTAAACTCTCGCATATTGACGAGTAAACGGGCTGAAATCCGACCGAAGAGGAAACTTTTAAAAATATTGGTAACATTATCACGTTTATTAATCATGTAAGCGCTAAAATTGTGGGTTTTACTTCGCAAATTAATTAAAATAAACACTGATTTTTTCACGTTTATTGAGCCATATTTGTCGAACGTTCTTCAGTGTCTGATGAACAAGTTCTCCGCAGCTGCTTTGAAATTCCAAGATTTTTCTTTTAACACCATAATAGCTTAAAACTTTACAAAACCGAGGCACAATCCCAATTACGTAGAACATTTTAAATCACGCTTAGCTGTCTAGTGTATTAATGTAGGGGAGATGCGTTTTAATTTCTGAGCCTGCTAATATTTGCATCCCCTGTCTATTGTCCTGTTCATATGAAACTTATAGTGGTAACTCAGGGAACAAGTGTCATTATGTAGAAAAAATGTAATTTCCAAGTTAGCAGGGGATGCAATTTTTGGCAATATGGATTTCTAGCTTGCCAAAATTTGCATCCCCCAAGTTTTCATCAAATATGATCCAATTGAGGTGAAACTCATACCAGCAGTTCTTACAACTACTCTGGTCATGTAGGACAAGTTATTTCACTCTTAACTCTTTATTTCTCAGAGTTAGCAGGGGTGCAACTTTTGGCAATATGGATTTCTAGCTTGCCAAAATTTGCATCCCCCCCTGTTTTCATGAAATATTTTCGAAATGATATTAAATTAATTCCAGTAGTTCATAGAACTACTCTGGTCATGTAGAAAAGGTTATTTCACTCTTAACTCGTTATTTATCCAAGTTAGCAGGGGATGCAATTTTTGGCAATATGGATTTTTAGCTTGCCAAAAATTGTATCCCCTCTATTTTTATCAAATATGATTCAATTGAGGTGAAACTCATACCAGTAGTTCATAGAACTACTCTGGTTATGTAGAAAGTTGTTTCACTCTTAACTCTTTATTTCTCAGAGTTAGCAGGGGTTGCAATTTTTGGCAATATGGATTTTCAGCTTGCCAAAAATTGCATCCCCTCTATTTTCATCAAATATTTTCAGAATGATATTAAACTAATACCAGTAGTTCAAAGAACTACTCTGGTCATGTAGAAAGACATATTTCACTCTTAACTCATTATTTTTCAGAGTTAGCAGGGGTTGCAATTTTTGGCAATATGGATTTTCAGCTTGCCAAAAATTGCATCCCCCCTGTTTTCATCAAATATGATCCATTTGAGATTAAACTCATACCAGCAGTTCTTAGAGCTACTCTGGTGATGTAGAAAAAGTTATTTCACTCTCAACTTTGTGTTTCTCCAAGTTAGCAGGGGGATGCATTTTCCGGCAATATGGATTTTGCTCCTGCCAAAATTTGCATGTCCTCTCTATTTTTCTCAAATGTTATGCTAATAACATGGAACTCATAGCAGAAGCTCATACAACTATTCTTCTTATGCAGAAGATGTTATTCCACTCTTAATTTTTTATTTGTACACGTTAGCAGGGGGATGCGTTTTATGGCACAGCCTGTTATCAACCTGCCAAAATATGCTTTCCCTCTCTTTTTTCCTCAAATGTTATCCTATTGATATGAAACTCATACCAGCAATTGAGGGAACAAATGTGATTATATAGAAAAAGCTATTTCACTCATAACTGTTTGTTTTTTTAAGCTTGGGGGGATGCATTTTTTGGCATAGCAAATTATGAGCTGCCAATATTTGCATGCCCTTTTTTTCAGCTCAAAAGTGTCGTACAGATTTGAAAGTCACTCTAGTAGCTCAGAGCATACGTGTCATTGTCTAGAACATTTCATATAACACATTACTATCCTAATTCTCCAAATTGCAGGACATGCATTTTCTGACAATTTTCATTTTGAGCACATTCTCAGATGCATTCAATAATATTTGATGACAATAGCGGGGATGCAGATTTTGGCAACCTGAAATTCCACATTGCCAGAAAATGCATCCCCCTGTTAACTTGGAGAAACACAGAGTTAAGAGTGAAATAACTTGTCCTACATGACCAGAGTAGTTGTAAGAACTGCTGGTATGAGTTTCACCTCAATTGGATCATATTTGATGAAAACTTGGGGGATGCAAATTTTGGCAAGCTAGAAATCCATATTGCCAAAAATTGCATCCCCTGCTAACTTGGAAATTACATTTTTTCTACATAATGACACTTGTTCCCTGAGTTACCACTATAAGTTTCATATGAACAGGACAATAGACAGGGGATGCAAATATTAGCAGGCTCAGAAATTAAAACGCATCTCCCCTACATTAATACACTAGACAGCTAAGCGTAATATAAAATGTTCTACGTAATTGGGATTGGGCCTCGGTTTTTAAAGTTTTAAGCTATTATGGTGTTAAAAGAAAAATCTTGGAATTTCAAAGCAGCTGCGGAGAACTTGTTCATCAGACACTGAAGAACGTTCGACAAATATGGCTCAATAAACGTGAAAAAATCAGTGTTTATTTTAATTAATTTGCGAAGTAAAACCCACAATTTTAGCGCTTACATGATTAATAAACGTGATAATGTTACCAATATTTTTAAAAGTTTCCTCTTCGGTCGGATTTCAGCCCGTTTACTCGTCAATATGCGAGAGTTTAGAGCGATGCGCGCTCCCGCGACAGGGGATGCAATTCTCGGCAGGCATGCATTTCTCGGCATAACACCTGCCGTCCCGCCGCCTTCCAGACCTCACTCCCGATCCACGTCATTCCCGCCCTCTTCCCAGACGTTCAGGGACCGCTCGATAAAAGCAACATCAGAACTGAATGCTGTACAACTCCATCGATATATTAAATACGGGTTCAGTTTGGAGCTGCATTTTAAATTTAGCTCCCACAAAAGTCCATTTAAACTTCCACAGCGTGACTTTTTCTTTTTTTTAATTTTCCATATATAATGCCTTCCACGGGATTTACTATGCACAAGTAGGTTGCTTTTAGTCTTATTATAAATGTTTGTATATATTTTTAGAGATTGTAAGGAAGAGAAATGCGTTTAACTTTCTTTTACAAGAGTAAAAACCCAACACTTCAAGAAGTACCAGAAAATCCAACGTTATTGAATGCATCACGGGTCGCGGACACGGAAGTGAGCGACCGTGCCGTCACTGAACAGGTTCTGCACGGCCAGCAAAAATAATAATGCTGTTAAACAGGTATTTGTTCATCTTCCGTCTTTAACAGACGAAGTCGTGGTAAGTGCTGGTCAATAGACACCTTGTTTTTTTTTTAAAAAAACCCCTGAAACTAATAATTTTGTTGACTGTTATCGCTTGCATGTAGGACGCTGCTTTAGGGAGCAGGGCATTATAACATGAAAACTTAACACATTGACTGCTCTTTGCGTATGTTTCTGAGCGAATAAGCTCGGGTTTGGGTACAGAGAAGTCTAAATCAGCAAATTAAGAAATGAACAGATCATCATAGCAGGCGACACTGTGTGGTTTCTTGTACTGCACCAATTTCTATAACATGTCAGGATCCTTTCCTGACTACTCAGGTTCTCTGAGGGATGTATAGTGAAAGATCATGGAAGGGAAGCTCCTAACGGTTTCAGTAAAGTCTTGATGTTTTGGTGGATACATTGCCCCTTGTGATAAATTGCTTGTGTTTCAATGTTTGCAGGTCATGGCTCAGAAGGAAGTAAAGGAGGCGTTTGTGAGTAATCTCAACGGGACCAGTTTGGGAGAGGTGACTCTTGGATCGTTTCTCGCTCCAGTTTGTGTCATCCACCGAGCGTTCATCTTAGTCCTCTACTACCAGGCCAAAGGGACTCTACCGCTACCACTTCCGCTGATTTCCCACCTGCTCCTTGATTTTTCTCTGCTCGTCCTTCCCCTCGTACTGTCGTGCACAATTCTCAGCGATGTTCTTCTGCAGGTCATCGTGTGCCTAACTTTTATTTCAGCTTGCGTGCTCTGCTGCATCTGCCGTGGCAGCTTCCAATCCTCTGCTCTGCGGCCCCGGAAGATGGTCAGCAACTTTCTTCAGTGCAGCGTTCAGTTCCACCAGGTCCCCTTCGTGACTCTCTTCAGAGTATTCGTAAACGTGAAAACAGCCATCAGCATCCTCGCCGTCGACTTCAGCGTCTTTCCGAGGCGATATGCGAAGACGGAGACCTACGGGACAGGAGTTATGGACTTTGGAGTCGGGGCGTTTGTTTTCGCAAACGCGCTTGTCAGCCCTGAGGCACGGAGGAGGAAGGTCACGGGATCCAAGGTGAGCCATGTCACGAAGCAGATTCTGTCTGTCTGGCCTCTGCTTGCTCTCGGTGTGGCGCGGCTGGCGAGTGTCAAAATGACCAGCTACCACGAGCACGTGACGGAATATGGCATCCACTGGAACTTCTTTTTCACGCTGGCCATCGTCAGAGTTCTAGCTTCTCTTCTTTTGGTTGTTGTACCAGTTGGACAGTCGTGGCTCTTTGCCCTTCTGATCAGTGGGTGTCATCAGTTCGCCCTGGAAACATCTGAACTAAAGACCTTCCTGATGCACAATAGGGACAGAGGAAAGGATTTTGTGCATGCTAACAAGGAGGGCATATTCTCCATAGCCGGCTATGTTGCCATCTATCTAGCAGGAGTTCAGGTCGGACTCTACGTGATGCAACAAAGACATCAAGTAAAAGATTGCCTCAAGATGCTTTTCACCCTCTCCCTAGGAAGTTTGCTGTTGTACGGCGCTTTGTTCGCATGTCAGGCACTCGTGGAGCCGGTCTCTCGCCGCTCGGCGAATTTGCCCTTCGTCGTCTGGAGCGTTGCTCAGTCGCTGTTTTTCATGTCCTGCCTAGGTCTGGCCGACATGGTCATCCTGTTCTCCAAAAGAGCGTCCGCGTGCCATTTTCTACCATCGTCCATGAACTTTCTGGAGAAGAAGACGGATTCTCGGCTTTCCGGAAGAGGAGTTGAAGTGGAGGGACTCTGCCTCATCCAGGCCGTCAGCAGGAATCAGCTGGTGTTTTTTCTGCTCTCCAACGTCATGACCGGAGCGACCAACTCTTTGGTGGACACGCTCAGCTGTAGCAGCTCATTGTCGGTGTGTGTTTTACTGTCATACATGCTTGTGAACTGCCTTGTTATATATATTTTGCATGTCTGTGAAATTACAGTGAAATTCTGGTAATGTTTGTAAGCACACCATTGTGCTTGGGTTTGTTTTTCACAGTTTATTTGAAGCTTGAGTTACTCGCACTGAAATTCAGAACAATGGCAAATAATGAACATGGAAGAAAATGTTATCTGCATGGAGTTAGTTTTCAGTGTGTGCCTGTTTAAGTGTTTTGTGTTTGTATATTTGGGGGACTTGCAAAAATAAAGCCTCGTGAGAAAAAGAACTCTGAACCGAAATGGACCTGAAATGTAACAATAACTGAAGCTTGGGATATTTTCATACCTAACCCAGCTTTAAATATCTCCAAAACTGATTTGCATGTCTGGTGTGTTCCTTGGTCTCCATAAAGCTGTTTGTTTACTAATATTTTAACAAATGTCTGTATTTACATTGAAAATACATTTTTGTTCAGGTGGAGTCTTTTTGCTTATCAGCTGGCTTCAGAGGGCAATAGTAACACTTTATTTAGGGGTATCAAAATCAAGAGTGGTAAACACTTCTCATGTTTTCTCTCTAAATATTTTTTGGAAACTATAATTTTCTTTCTGTTTTGACATTTTCCACTACTCTGGAGGAAGAAAGAGGCCCTGAAAACTTAAACTGAAGATTTTGGTAATAATGTGACAAAATGTAGAAAATGTCCAGTGAGAATGTGCCTATGAAAGCCTGTAAAATGTCTTGGGTTAAAATTGCTCATAGATTTATAATTTGCATTTTATTGGCCATTTTTGATATATATACAATTAAACACTGCACTTAGTATATGATATTTTTACTGGAAAAAGCAGCAGAGCGCTATGAATCACAACAATGTCAAAATACATCTTGCAATAAATTAAATCGTAGCTGTTCTTTCATCAACGTGCAGGGCTTTTTTATGCTCACCTGCGCCCCCTGGCGGCAGTGCGTACCACATCATTCGTCTTACGTATCAGCGTACGGGAAGGGGGGCAAAGGTGAAGTCAGTAATGAAGATTCCGCCACCGCACCAGGCTCACTAACTGTCGCACTTGTTTATTTTTGAGATAAGTTCCAGACGACGGTAAGTGAAAATTGTCCAAAAGTTCAACTATACGTATTTGTTCTTTACGAAGACACCATTCTGTCTGTCAGTATTGTCGGCATATTTTTAAAAGAAACTCGCGGCTGTCGCTAAGTAGCTACTCATAGTTCCAACTTTCTATTAGCTTAGGTTAGCTCGCTAACGCTAGCCGTGAGAGCAGCGATGTTAACAAGCAGGTTAGCCAGGTTTACTATCACCGTCAAGGCGAAGTCAAGCTGGAATAATACTCCAATTTACCTTTGATGGGGGAAGTTACACCATTTAATAAACAACAGTGCGCCCAAAATTCAACCGAACGGCATATTTGATTTCGGAAGTTGTATTATGAAGTGAAGTTAGCTAGCAGGCTAACTTGGAAATCAGTAGGTAATTGTTTAAAAGGCAACAGATACAAGTGAACGTTCCAATCGAGGCTTTGGAAGCTGCACAATGCTAAAAGTACATTTTGTAAAGCTAATAACTTAGACATTTTCCAGAGCTTTTGTTCTGCTAGATTGTTTGCTAGCTTCGCAGGGCAAATCTGGGTCAAGATAATCATGCTAGCTACTTTAGGAGTGGCTATAACAGTAGTTTTTAACGTTTGGTGATTTTGTTTATTTTTTAATGCGTACTCTTGTGATTAAGAATCCCAAAGACAAATTCTTAGTTCCAAGATTATATCAGCCCCCAATGATCTGGAGCAGGTAGGGTAGCATTAGCTACCCTACATGTCAAACAATGGTGGAGCTTGTGCTCAGGGTTTGACGTAGTCATTTTGTCTCGTTCCCTGCACATCATTCTGTCGTTTGTGCTCACCTGCAGGTGAGCTGATCTGCAACGCAGAGAAGACATGGCACGCCTAGTAGCAGTTTGCAGGGAAGGCGAGGAGGACTACCCGTTTTTGGCGAGACAGATTCCCCTGTATATTGATGACACACTCACGGTAGGTCTTCATAATCACGGAGAACACATCAAATAGCAATTAGGAAGACAGACCCTTATGAGTCACCCTGTAAAGTAAAAGCAGAAATGGAGCTGAATCTGCTTGTTTTCTGATTATTTTTTTTTCTGACTTTCTGAAACAAATGGATATGGTTGTGTGGTTTCTTTTTCTTTCTTTTTTTTTCCATTTTCACATGGAGACATGTTCAGGCAGTGCTCGAAAGGATGTTGACGTCGGAAAGCCAAGATCGGATTATGTTCTTCACAAAGACACAGACGTACCTCGAGTACGAACTGTCTGAAACTAAATTGCTGAACTAAATACCAAGCTAATTACTTGTGCCTCTGTCAGAATGTGACCGCTGAGTTTCTGATATGTCATTACCTGTTGTTTTCATGGTTGTCAGATGGTGATGGAGTTTCCTGACAGTTTCCTGGACGTTGAAGGCACTGACATAGTCCTTCCTCACTGGAAGCAATTTTCTGAGGTATTTTCACTCACAGAATTTCTTTTAATCTGGCAGACATGCACACACACAAATCAAACCCTAAAGGGTGTCATTTGTGTGTATTTAGTACAGATGCACTCAACTGATACTAATATATGTATCTGTCCCGGTTATTAAAAATTCTAGATCAAGTATCGGTGACAGTGGGCAGATCTATTAAGTCTAATTCTGTGCTTTGAGTGACATCATGTTTTATTTTTGCATTATATATATAATTTCTAATTGCACCATCTGAAGCACTTGAAAGTGTCATTTTATTTTTTCCATAGTATTATTCCAAGCTGAAGCAGCAGGACCTGAATATCGCCTTTATGGTGTCGTCCAGAGAGGTGTACAGCGCGCTATCCCAGCTGGTGCCGTGCGTGGGCTGCAGACGAAGTGTGGAGCGCCTCTTTTCTCACTCAGTGGAGATGGGGAACCCAGCGCTGGAGCCCCTCACAGTGAAACCCAAGGGCATGCTCACTGTCACCAAGGCTTGTTTGGCAGACATGAAGAAACTTTATACCCTATTCTATGTCCATGGGTGAGAGGAAAAGTCTTTTCCCCTTATTTTTACATTGATAGTATTACAGCAGAAAACGCAATGATCACTGTTCTCCCCTTTCTAGTTTTTCTCCATTATTTTTATTGTGATGACATTGATTATTTTTTTAATAACTGTTAGAAAACATGTATATTTAGACTTAAAAAGCATAGGTCTGGTATTATAGGGTTTTGCTTAAGTGTTTTTTTTTTTTTTCAATAATTATAGAATTGCTTTTTGCTGCAGCTACAAGTGTTTAAAGGAACAGTGCCTATAAAAACTTATTCACCCGCTTGGATGTTTTATCCTTTTGTTACTTTTATAAGTCAATCCTGAGCAGCAAAATTTGGCTTTTTTTAGTTTTTTTTTTTTTTGTCAAAATCTTTGAATGGCATAGTGGAAGCTAATTTCTACAAAATGACAAATAAAAATGTTTAGCATAACATATGTCATTGCATAAATATTGGCATCATTCAAGTCCGTATTTGGTAAATGCATGGAGTCTGTGTGGGTACATTTTTGTCAGGCTTCACGTCTGGATGCTGCAGTTGTTCAGTCTTCTTTGCAAAACTGTTCAAAGTTTGTCAGGTTTGTCTGGGGGTTGGTTGTGAAGAGCTCTTTTCAGGTTCCACCACAAATTCTCTACCAGACAGAGGTCTGGGCTTTCACTAGGCCACTCCAGAACCTTGTTGTCTTCAAACAATTTCTGTGTAGCTTGGCCTGAATGCTAAACATGTTTCTCAGTGGGGATGGTGTTTTTGTTGTGATGTGCAGACTTTGGTGTATCTCAAACATAGTGTCTTTTGTGATGGCCAAAAAGCTCCGTCTTGGTCTCATTGAACCAATTAACCTTCCTTGACTTGGTCATCAAGCTTTGATTGGTGAATGCCTGGAGCTAGTTTTCAAGTAAAGTGTAAGACAAGATGTCGGAAAGCTGGTAGAAACGTATTCCAACAGAGATGTGTTTGCCATTGCAACATGGGATAATTCTAGGGAAGTACTGAATACAAATGCTGACCACATATTTAAATAAAGAGAACCATGTTTTCTTTCACTTCAGGTTCACAATTATGGACCAATTTGTTTCTGCCTTGCATAGAACATCAATGAAATCATAAATAGATTGAAAGAATGTGGGGAAAAAAGTTCAATTATTACAATAACGGTTGTATTTTCTTTTTCTTTCTTTTGCAGGTCAAAGTTAAATGACATGATTGATGCCATTCCAAAAAGTAAAAAGAATAAGCGCTGCCAGTTGCACTCCTTAGACACCCACAAACCTAAACCCCTGGGGTAAGTAATGTTCTTATTGTCACATTTTTGGTTTTAGAAGTTGTACTCACTTCTGTTTTTATGAAGAATGCAGTAAATTTGTTGAGAAATTTTAAAAATGTTGTTTTTCTTAGTATTTTGAATAATTAATTCAGTGGAAAACAGCTAAGATATTTGGATACTGAGGGTGTACTTTACTTTGCAGCTGTCAGAGCTGTTTGTGCATTATGTGTTATAACACTGCTATAAATGCTCCAGGGGAAGTTGGATGGACGTGTGGGAGCTGATGTCTCAAGAATGCAGGGACGAGGTGGTCCTCATCGACAGTGCCTGTCTGCTTGAGACGCTGGAGACGTACTTGCGGAAACACAGGTACTCCGTCGTAACCAGACCATTTACTCACCAAGTACTTTCTCATCCGCCATAAGACGGTGGTTTTGTGATTGAAGAGAAACCAACTGGGTTTCGACTTCCAACAGGTTTTGCACAGACTGTAAGAATAAAGTGATCAGAGCATACAACATCCTGGTTGGAGAGGTGGACTCCAGTGAGGAGAAGGGATACTGTGCCGCTCTGTACGAGGGTCTCTGCTGTTGCCCCCATGAGCGGCACATCCACGTGTGCTGCGAAACGGACTTCATCGCTCACTTACTCGGCAGGGCAGAGCCTGAGTTCTCAGGAGGTTACGAGTAAGTTGGATTTATGCTCGCGTTTATCATTTGGTGAATGCATTACGATTGGGAATGCAAGTTATCAATTTATGAGTCAATCTAAAGTTGAATGATCTTCTTGATCGACAAATGATTAATTGATACGTGAACATTTTTTGTAAAAACTTAAGTTTCTCTTGTATCAAGAGCTCTAACCTTCTTTCCTTAATCTAGACGGCAACATTTCCCATAATATTCTAAATGAAAAACATTTAAAAATTATACAATGTCACAATTTTTCTGCGTTTTGCTCTACGCTTCTGTCTTCAAATCCTTAGCTTCGTAACACATCAATAACTTTTGGTTGAGATTTTGTTTGGACCGCTTCTTTTTTCTCATTCCGCCATCTTTAATGTTTTTTATCAACTGGCTCCACTTAAGGATGACCAGCGACGCCCTCTGCTGGGTGGTGGCCAAACTACAACACAAAAAAAGGTCTAAGTGGACAATATTAGTCAATCAATTGGAACTAATTTTAGTCTAATACAGCATCAATTGGAAATTGATGGATTATTTGTTTACACCCCTGATTATGAGTAAATAAAAGGTGTGTTATACTTTAATCCTGTCAAGATTTTCAGAAAATGAGCTAATATATGTTGTTTTGGCTTGTGCTGGGGTTTTTTTCCCCCTCAAGGCGCAGAGAGAGACACGCGAAAACGATCGATATTGCACAAGAGGAAGTTCTGACCTGTCTGGGCATTCATCTCTACGAGCGGCTGCACAGAATCTGGCAGAAACTCCGAGCTGAGGAACAGACGTGGCAGATATTGTTCCATCTGGGTATTGATGCACTACGGAAAAGCTTTGAGGTACTCCTCGTTCGCTTTGAGGACGCCACACAGTTTTGCCGCTCTGCATTCAACCGAGTGTTTTTCTGACCCTCAGATGGCAGTGGAGAAGATGCAGGGCATCAGTCGGCTCGAGCAGTTTGTGGAGGAACTGTCAGAGGAGGAGAGAGCCAAAGAACTGAAACTGGAGAAGAAGAGACAGAAACGGAAAAACCGACGCAAAAACAAGTGTGGTTTTGATATGTCTGAACAGGAGGCAGAGAACAAGGAGAAAATCTTGGATGAGGTGAAAATTCTGAGTTCACACAGCGCTAATGGGCTTTAATATAAACCCACAGTTCTGCATATCAATGTTTTTGATTTGGTGTCACAGGGTTCCTTTGATTCAGTTGAGGGCAGCTGTAAGGCCTGTGGTAGCCACGATGAGGAAGAGGAAGAAGAGGCTGGGTGTGAAGAGACAGTGACCACCAGCAGAAACGCCTCCTGTAAGTGCTCAGATAACACCAAGACAGGTATAATCATCTATTTATGTGTACGTGTAAGTCCTGCTGAGTGTGAATTTAAAGAGAAATAACAAGTCGGGACAAAACGCTGTCCTCAGATTTGTCCCACAACAGTAATGGCAGCGACTGCGGCTACTCATCAAGTATGGAGGGCAGCGAGATGGGATCACGAGAAGGCTCTGACGTCGCCTGCTCCGAGGGCATGTGCAACCACGAAGCAGGTCCAGGTTAAACACACCCAGATATTCATCACAGATGTATCGCCCTGTATGTGAGACGTTGTCCCTCTGATCTCACAGTCTGCTCTTACTTATCCTCTGAAGGGGATTACCCAAACGTCCACCACTGTGTCGAAGACAAAGAGGAGGACGGGACAGACAGCTGTGTGGACTGCTGGCCGCACTCTGAGGAAAACGGTCAGTGCAAGAGTAAAAAGAAGAAGAAAAAGGGCAAGAGCTGCAATGATCAGGTGAGGCAACAAACCGAGGACATGCCGGTTTGTCGAATGCAGAGTATTCAGCCACATGCTCAAGGCGAAACTAATGTTCCCTCAGGAGTCAAAAACCGAAGGTTGCACGCCGTCGGACGGGAACACCACAGGCCACAATCTGACATCAGCAAACACTTGTCGAACCAAAGATATTTTTTCCTCCTTATGTGGCGATAAGCTCGCTAACATTGCACTACGGTCGCCATGGGCAGTCCATCAAAGCAATCTCAGCCTTCACATGAGGCCGACAAAGGCAAATTTAAGTCTGGTGGAACTCCTGGTGAGATTATTATTATTTTGTCCTGTTCTGATCATCAATAACTTTATATTTAACATTGGAAGAACTAGTTATGAATCTACTGTTCACATTGCACAACAGGATTATTGTAATTTCATTTTTTCTCTTAAGATCTCGTAAGATTTGGATCATACACGACCTTCCTTTTTCCTTTTCCTCGATCAGGACGATTCGGACGTAACTTCCGATGAAGAGAGCGGTCTGACGCAGGATGAAATCCAGGCATTTCTAGAACAGAACCAGTCCTTCTACAGCAACCGCCTCCAGTACCGACAGCTCCTCAAGGAGAAATTCACCAACTACTGCCGTGCCACTGAGCGGAGCAAGCGAGTCTGTGGAAAGTGGTTCGCCACGACCAGCGTCAAGTAACGTCATCGTGCCGTGGAGAATTTAAAAGCACTCGTGACCACTGCTGCAAGGTTGTTTATAAAAAGATACATTTCAGATGTATCATTCGGTGTCTTGTTGGGTCATTTCTTTAAAATCAACGTGATTTATGAATTGTTTTTCTCCTTGAGATCTTTGATTCTTTTGCACTTGTACACTGACGCAGTTGTTCATCTCTATTTGCCACATTCATACATGTTAGTTGTTCTCTTTGACCAAGCCTAGCTATTTATTGTTGGTCTTGTGTAGGGTTTCGGGGTTAGAGCACAGTGGAATAAGAAATCAAGTTTTGCAAGCTGTGATATTAGGGAAGAATTTTAGTCTTATTTTTATTTTTGTTTCCATTTTTTTTCTCTCTCTTCTTTATGGTGGCACTTCAGTGTAGTGCTTACAGGTTGCACCATGAAATGTGTACAGAAGTATAAATATAAAAATTTTACAGAGAATAAACATCCATTTGTAATAAATTTGGGGTGTGTTAAAAGCGCAATGTTAAGAAAAATTTACTAAATAAAGAGTATTTATTAATATGGATTATAAGTGTGTCTTTTTTTTCCCTCTAAATATAAATTTTTCCTTACAATATACAAAACTTGTATGCAGTTTTGCAAACCAATTTTAATAGCCAAAAACATTTTCTATTTTTTAAGTACACGTGTGTCCAAACTTCTACCAGTTGGTATAAAGAAATGGCTCAAAATTTCTCTGCAAACCCATTTATTGTATCAACTGGAAAGACAACAATCAGCATCTATGACTGAAAAACCTTGAATAAGGAGCTGCAGCTACGTTTAGCTTCCCTTTGGGATCAATAAAGTATTTTGAAAATGAACTGAAACACAAAATACTTTCCAGGTACTCTTCATTTCTAGGTTTTGCCTCTGACAGCAGGTTTCACATCAGCTGACTGCTTCCTGTTGGTCTTATCTAAGGCGTGAGATTTGTGAAACTTGTTTTAACTGTAAACTACATCCTGCTGGTTAGTACTGCTTTTGGAGTCGTTCATTTCAAGGACAGAAAAGTCAGTGTCCATTTTATTTTATTGATCAGTCTGCAAATTTTGCACAGTGGCTTAGTTGGGATGCCCCATAGAGCAGGAATCTGAAGCTTCGGTACTTGAAGGCCCTTCTGTTCCAACCTTTAGGTGTGAATCTGCTTCAACAAACCGGAACGAAATACTTTGGTCCGTAGCAGGACTCTGTAGAACTTGATTTCATTCAGGAAAGGCAATTTAATAACTTGTTTTTATAGGAGCGGTATTGTGTATTTTCCAGGCACACCGTGCCATTTTATAGCACAATAAAACAACTGTTAACTTCAGCTGTCATAAGAAGACTGTATAGAACTGACGTAAAATAAATTTTACTTCTTCAAATTGGTCCTCTGTCTCTAAAAATCTTTTAACAATGTTTTTACCAGTGTTGGAGAAGTAGCTCATGTAATGAGCTCAGGAGATGTGCAAATCCACCAGGAGTTTGCTAATTGCTGCTGCTAGTCTGAAGGAACTGAATGAGGGAGGAGCTGTGCCTCGAAGGCGGAGCTAGGTCCAACCAGGCGTTTTGCACAGTTGAACGGTTGACATGGGAGATTAAAGCATTTGTCAAATTGAAAGAGTCAAAGCAACATTCCAGACATGTTTTTGATGATGGAATAACATGATGTAAATCTCAAAATGTCGATTTTACATAATACCGCCCCTTTAGGCGTGTTCAGACAAGGATGCATTGAAAGGTTGCAGAACACCAAACCTTGAGGACTGAAGTCTGAAACTTACGCCTAACAGAATGCTCCGAACAAATCTATGTTCAAATGAATCCCCGTCAGGACTTTATTCATACATTTACAAAACAGCTGTACGGATTGCAGATAAAAACATATTGGCGGCATTGTGGATCTCCACTTTACGAATGCATTAAGAGAGGGATAAACAGAATTAGTGGTCTGACATAAATCCAGTTTCAGATTAAAATGACAGAAAAAAAATGCAACAATCAGTGCCAAGCGTCCCTCTGTTGGAGAGCTTCATGCCTACAGGGAACAACTTGGTAAATAAATAAAGTAACTTGTCAGCTAGTTGTACAGGCCAGTTCATGAATCTGCACCAACTCACGATTTGTGAGGAAACTTCAGAAAGTTTCGATTGGGTTTACTAAGCATGAAATGTTCTTTGGCTGTAGTACATTCCTGAATCAAGTGTGAACTTCATAGACCATCGTGTCAACAGAGACCAGTGTTAGATTACTGCCTAATAAAGCATAAGGTTGATTTGTCAGCCTGCTGTACTCCCACGTCTTTGAAAGTTTAATTTTCAGTTACAGAAATAAAACAGTCTGCCCAGGAATGTGAACAGTGGCTCACATTCCTGGACAGATTGTACTGATGTTAGTACCCGGTGCTTCCTCAATGTGCAGACTGAGCATTTTTTTGTTTTTTGATGTTTCATTTCATTTTAGTAGAAATTTTAGGATTTTGGGTGGGAGAAACTAGTAATCAGAACATTTTATGTTAATTAAATACTCTCACTTTGGTTTTGACAAGCAGGATTATTTTCGAAAAGAGTATTCTAAGCCATGATGTGAAGGATGAATGACCCTTTGTCTCTTAAATACAGATAAATTAAAAGATTTTTTTAAAAATTATTTTATTTTAGATTTCAAAGAATCAGCAAGTATGCAGTAAGAATGCAAATCGAAATCTTTTTTTTTATTGGATTGTTGTGTTAACAGAGTTATAACTTTAATGACTTCAATCTTTTTGTATTTCAACTCAATTTGTTCACAAAACACATTTTAGCAGATAATAGCTACTTATCAGATTGCTTTAAAGCTCAGCTAAATAAATCTGGCCCATCCTCCTGGATCCACTAAATTTGTACACAAATGAAATTCTGCTTAGAAACCCATACAAGCTTGGGGCCTTCATACGTTTAAAGACTTCCTGGGGGCATCTGTGGAATTCCCCTGAGAGCACATCCAGTCCCACCAGTGGTATTTATGCCACAGCTTCACCTTTGACTTTTACTACCTCATCCTCTCCACTAGGTGGTGCTAATAAGCTACTCTCAACACTCCCCGGTCCAGTGCGACGGCTCGAAATGAAAGTGGGAGGTGAAGGGAGTCAAACGCTTCAACGCAAGCCGGACTCTTCGCATTTCGGTCCGAGAGGCGCATGGATCGATCTTTACGACCTCTCATCGCCGCCGTCGTCCTGGATGCTGCGCAGACTGACACGGGACTCTGGAACGGGCGCATCCCATATTTCGAATACCGTACGTAACCCCCCGCGACATCCTTCAACCCGCGGCAGCCTGACCGGCTCGGCGGGGCTCGGCAGAAGAAGCGCAGCGCGGGGAGCCGTCGGTTCGCGTCAGAAACGGTCCCGGTGAGGAGGCTGGCGGAGATGGAGCGGTGGAAAGGCAGAGTGGCCCTGGTGACCGGAGCCTCGGTGGGATTGGAGCGGCCGTAACCCGGGCTCTGGTCCAGCAGGGCATGCGGGTCGTCGGCTGTGCCAGGAATGTCGACAAAATTGAGGTAAGCGGTGTCGTTTAGAGGAACGTTATTAAGAAGGGGAAAAAATTAATTAAGTAATTAAAGAGAAAAAAAAAAGAAGTGTTGTCAGAGCAACAACATTCCTGCTAACTAACGTTAACGGCTAGCTAACATTAGCTTTGCTGTTGAAGCTACAGACCTTTAGCCCCGGTGTTGGAAAGTCGTCATCCAGGTGCTGAAACAAGGTGAAGCGGACGATGGAGGTTTGTTTGGAAGTATTAGGCACACCCTGCTAAGTTTAGCCAGTTTATAAAAAATAAATAAAGCCGTTAGCTTACAATTACATGTGCCATTTCACGTATTAACAGTTAAATCATGAGAGACGGAGATAATTCCTGTGCTGTAGAGTTGTATCTATGTCGCACATTTCTAGCCGGAGGGAGCAATAATAATAATAATAATAATCCTTCTGTATTCAAATCACTGACAACCGCCCATCCCATCCTTAAGGTATAATCGCCTCTAATCTCAGTGTCTTCCCTTCAGTTGTAGAAGTCAGAGTTAGCAACCACTAAGTTCCTGCATTTTACTGAACAAAATGAGCCAAATTCAAAGTATTTTGTTTAAAGTCGATTAATTTGATCCCTCAAATCGATTGTCAAATAATGGCAAACTTTAGACACAGCAGGCACTATTTGGCAACTTCTGTTTTATTAATCATACACATGTCTGCACTATCAAGAGTCAATCATTCACAAGGAAAGATTGATGTAAAAAAGGCGTTCATTTAACATTTCTCAATCCAGAACCACCTCGCTAAATGTACGTTTGAGAACGACGAGCTCAGATGGATCAATACCAAATAAATCTCCAGGATACAGTTTCACAGACCACCACCATTCGTGCACACTAACAAGTTGATCCAGGGGAATCATGACTTGCAAGGACCTTTGCGGTTTCTTTCCTGAAGTTGTTTCGTTTTAGAAAGAAAGGAAAACAAAACAGGTACGCGATTAAAGCAGAGACGTTACTGAAATAGTATTGTATAATCCTTTCTAAGGTGGCATGTAAACCATTTGCAGCTGAAATCACTGGCAACAGCAACTCTATGAAACTATTGCTGGGCTTGAATTGACATTTTTACAGTTCTGAACTTTCATTATATTGATATGTATTCACAATACAACTCAAATGAGCTTGGATTAATGTTCTCTGACTGAATTAACATATTATGTTCAATTGTAACCAACATTTTCAGGTAGGATTTGTTACCAAAAAAGGCGTTCTAACAATACACACTTGTACTAACGAATATGCCGGACTAAAATAATTGTAATGGCTAATATTTATCCATGCCCAAATTTCTTTTTATTTTTAAACTCAAAGGCCAAATTAGTTTCATTTCTGACCGACACCTTTGCGTGTAAAGATCACAGTCGAATTCTTGGCATCATGAACTTGGGGAAAAAAGATATTTGTAGTCAGTATTCAGGTTCTGCTTGATAAAATCAGGTTGGATCACTCTGTCGGAGTGTCGCGGCAGGAGTACAGAGGATTCTTTCCAGACAGGTTTCTGATGCCCCGCCCCTTTAAGTCTTACTTAACCGTAAGCCTGCAGGTTCTGCGCCTCGCTTATCTTTTCTGCGAATAGTTAGGCCTCGCCCGTGTCGCCTCATTGATTCAAGGGCTTTTTGAATGCCTACCTTTATACCCTATAGGGAGGAATGCTGTTATCGCCAGGGTTTCCCCCAGAAAATTTGCTAAGCCTGGTGCTCAGGGCGCTAGTGCAGTTATCCAGCGGTTTGCTGGGTTTTTGAGTTAAAAAATGTTTAAAGTTGGCAGAAAATTTGGAACTATCACTTGATAATTATGTGCTATTGGAAGACTGTAAGATTAATACCTAATCATCAAGTATAAAGTCTTAAGAAAAAAGGCAATCGTTAAAAAAACTAAAATATATAAACATTGTTTAGCCCGGTAAAGCCTGGTGGCCCGACAGGTTTATAATACAACAGGGGAAATCCTGATCACAGTTGGATTTGAATA